CCAGTTTTTTTTTTTTTTTTTTTTTTTACTTTCTTTTTTAACTACTAGAAATTGAACCCAGGACCTTTGCATTGAGCTACATTCCTAGCCCTTTTTAAAACTTTCTATTTCAAAACAGGGTCTTACAAAGTTGTTCACTTGCCCAAGGTAGGCTCAAACTTACAATTCTGTCTCAGCCTCCCAGAGTATTGGGATTACAGATGTGTGCCATGCCTGGCTCTGAGTAAGTTTTAATATAAAAATGATCATTGTTGTACTAGTAATTTTCCTGAGGCCGAGACTGTACTTTCTCATTGTGCTATGGTTTAACAGATCCTAGTGTAGTAAGTAGTAAATGTTGAAAATGGGTGCTCAAAAAAATGTTTCTAAGGGAAATGGATAATAGTAGGGAAGCCTCCATGTATGTGTAGGCTACACAATTACATGGCTAAATGTCACCAAGCACCTTCCATACCTTCTAAGTAGTAACTTATAAGGAACTTTCCACTAGTCCAACTTCATATCCACTGTTGGCGTCAGTGAAAATTTCCTCATTTCTAGCTTCTGAGAAGTACTCCTAAATCTGTTTAAAGCACTAAAGCTTCCTGCTAAGAAGGTGCAAGAAAAACAAGTCCTGCATGGACAGCATAAATCTTCATGTTCTCTTTGTAAGATCTCAGATTTGGAAAGGACCCAGAAGGTTAAGTGTTCATCCCATGGCTTGATAGAAGCAAGTGAAACAGGCTTGGAGTTAAGACTCCCACCTCAGAGTTGCCAATCAACAGCTTTCTGGTCAAAGTGCATGAAACCAAGCTTTTATATGAGACTTTATCAAACACCTAGCTACAGGCTAAAGCAGACCTAATGCACCTATGGAAGAGGGATGCCCCAGAGAACAGGTTTCAGTCTCCATCCCGTGGTACTCGGGCTCCTCTATTAGCACTCAGGGACACAGCCTTTCTTTGGACTCGGGGCTCTTTGTCAGAGACGATCAGTGTGGGGAGACTCCAGGTAGGAGACAGCAGGGGATCATGGGAAAGCCCTGGCTCCTGGGACCTCTTCCTTCTCTTCCTCAGAGATACTGGACTTTTCCACCCTCCAGGACCTTCTGACTTTATTCTGTATAAGTTCCAGACAGGTCTATTTTTTAGAAGCCTCCTGATTCATGATAGCAAATGCCACACAAGCTTATAAAGGTTTTGCATTTGGTCCGACAACTTTGAGTCCCTGTAAATCATAGTTTGATGTTTTATTTTGGTTTTGGTTTTGATTTTTTGGTCTAGAACAAGCTAACTAGAAGGATATAAAAAATAATTACAATTTCAGGCAGTTTCTATGTCATTATGCCATCTGAAGACAAAGGTCACCTTAGCTTCCTGTGTAGTAAAAGGCAGCTACTCTTGATGCTTGGTGGCTTGTGTCACTGTGGGTCACAATGTTGGGGGAGACCATCTCTGGGAGAAGCATCCTGCAGGGCCCACCACTCTGTCTTACCAGGAGGACTCCTTCGGCCTTGATCAAAGCAACCCACATCCCTGGTGTCATTGAGAATGGCTCTGCCAGGCCATTTCCGGGGATGGTGACAAAGGCTGGCTGCTTACTTGGCAGGAAAGTGATCCCTTTCCTTTGAGTGGCACCTGTTTGACAGACAAAGGACTGTTTAACACACTTTTCTCACAGCCATTGTTAAACTTTCAGATAACTCAGTTTTCAACATTTGGTTTACACCTGAAAAAGTTGAAAGTGGTTTATTGATCATGTGACCTATCAGATTTACTGATCTTATTTTGTAAAATGGTATGTCTGTGTTTTCACGTGTATACGATAGGCTAGAAAGATATTAATATGATGTTAGCAGTAGCTGTCCATACTGTGATTATAAGAAATTTAAAAAAATATTTTAATGTATTAAATAATACCTATAAGCTGTTATAGGATTATTCAATATATTATACTGGCTATTAAATTATTTTTTCTTTTCTGTTTATATGAGATTCTTTAATGCTTATGTTTATTAATAAGCATGCATTCATTTCATAATTAAAATGTTTTGGCTATTTGTTTTCAGGATGCAATGTGTTTTCTTCCGCATTAAATAAATGGTCCAGAAACAAACAAAACTTCTCCACCTGAGTCCAACTGAGACTTTTTCTTGAGAAGAAATGCTCATTCCAAACCCTTGCATTCCTTTTTGTTCTGCAGACATCAGTGGGGCCCACAAAGTGCTAGACTGGAAGTGAGTTCTGGGGACAAGGCAGTCAACACAGGAAGAACAGGCTTTGCTCCTGGATGATGGGGACAGGGTGCTAAGGGACGAAGACTAGAACACAGGAGGGCCAGGGATTTAACTCAGTGGCTCTGTGCCTGCCTCACAAGCACAAGGTCCTGAGTTCAATCCCCAATACCAGGGGGGAAAAAATTAAAAATCAAGAACAAACTAAAACACAGGAGACTAAGGTGCAGCATGGACAGTAGTATTTAGGAGGAGGCCTGTGTTACCTGGGGAATATATAATGGGCTCCTGACCAGGCTTGGGGAACGCTGTCCTGGAAGATGAGAAAACTACCCAAAACATATTCCAAGGGTGTGAGTTAACAGAGGGAAGGCTGCTGGTGGCAGCATCACCCAGGAGGCTGAGGGTTCTATTGGAACAAGTCTGGAGTCCTAAGACATTGTCCACTAAGACTAGCTGCACCTGAGGAGATTACCAATCTTCTCAGCTGTTCCCTCTTCAGTCCACAAAGCATCTTCATGCAAGGGCATGGAATGAGTGCTGACTCCCTCTACACAGGGAAGCCAGCCTGCCAGTGCTTCCTGCCAGGTATTAGCTAATTGGCCTCCAGCCACACAAGCTGGGTTGACACAGCTCAGAATCCTGTCACTTCTCCCCTCAAACTCAGCACTGCCGTGGCTGCTAAACAAAGCTCTTACATGGTGATCTTAAGTTAGAGTTTCACTGGCACCACGTTGTGTCCCTGTGGGATTCCAAATGCTTCCTGGGCCCTGTTTCCAGATTAGAGGGAGCCCAAGTCCCATGCAGGGCAGATTTTCAGGCCTTGTCTCTGGCTGTGAGGAAATGATGCTCTCTTCTGACCCTAGTGGGATCAGATCCCCTCAGCCCTGAATGGGTTTGCAGATCCCTCCTGGAACTCTCTTGGGCTTTGTGTTTACAGCCTTATCTTAAAACCCCCATCCTGACCACTTCTCTGTGAACTACCTGGCCTGGTCTGAACGACGGGAAGATGAGGACACCTGGCCAAGGTCTCTCCACACTGAAATGTTGACGCGCACTTGACGATGTCATGACCCAAAGGGTACCCCCAAGGGGAAAAAAGTTGTGATGTCACCTTTTTAAATGATGGGTAGTGATAACTTAATGCAGAATCTAAATAAGAAAGTTTAGAAAACGAAAGGGTAATGGAGATTACCTGGAGACCTGTGGAAACAGAACGTGTGCCAGGCTTAACCTCTTCTGAGGATGATCTGTGAAAACTGGAATTGTGTCTTCATCATTTCCCAATGGAAAAGAGGCCTGAAATTGTACCCACCTTTCTGCGTCATGTTTGGGTAAATAGTTATATGGCCAGCGACTGCTTCAGTTCCAGGGTTAACATATCTCAGGATAATGCGAAACAAGGAGCCATCTGCCTTCCCCACATCCAACGTCAGCTTTACTTTATTCTGAAAAATGCCAGAAAGCCAGGAAGTATGGAAAAGGAAACTGGTTAAAAGAAATGCTAGCTAATCAGTGCCTTTATTCTATTCAGGTTTCACCCCTGAACTTGCAGTGCATGCACACACACACACACACAAGTGCATATTTACACACCGGCAACAAGCACCAAGCTTGATAACGGATAAGCCTGGCAATAAATCAAAATCACTTACAATGAAAGTTACAGTGAAAACGCACTCCCTGGCCACTGAGGTCCTCTTTTGACCATTTTGTAACCACACAGACAGAGCGGAGTTTTAGATGAGCTAGATTAAGAAAGCCATGGTGACCGAACAACCACCACTGGCTGGGAAAAAATAAGAAGGCAGAAGAGAAAGAAAGGAAAGTGCGTCGTTTCGCACATCTCTCCCCCAAAGAGAGATGACTCCAAGATCCACTTCACAAACATGTGATTGAATGTTCACAGAAACCAGTGGTGGCTGAGGGATGGTTAAAGACCCTAAACCCTGAACACAGTGACAAAGTCTGAAGATAACAAAAATATACCAGTTTATGAAGTTTTATCTCAAGCTCTTATCCAAGGAGAATGTTAGTTTCTTGGCCTACAAGAAAGGTCCTGTGGGTGGGTCCCTATGCCCTGGGGCTTACACAATACTAAGCACTGTGGCACCCATGATCCTGAAGAGAACAGTGGAAAATTTTAATTCAGAACCACAGACTACATGTCCAAATCCAGCTATAGTCCAGGAAAGTTCATGAAGCATGGAAATTCCCAAGTAGGTAGTCCTTAGGGTCCCCCAGCTCCTTTGGTTCCAGTGAAAGGGACATTTTCTGAGTAAGGCTTTGGAGACAAAAATGACAGGCTTTCGGTAGAAAGTTCTGGAAGCCAGAGCTACAGGTGTCCCACACTGAGGTAATCCCCGGCCCCCAGCAATGAACTGAGCTTATCTTTCAATGTTAGTACCAAGTTGGGAAACAAATATGCAAAAACATATTAAAAGCAGAGTAAAGGAAGTGGTCACTCAAGGGACACCATCACACCTTCCTCAGAAAATCGACCCTCAGAAATTCATTCCTGGTGTCAACCAGCTAGTTTTTGAAACTGTAATCACCTGTGAAAGAGTCTGTACCTTGATCATGTTTCTGTGCTACTGCAACTCAATGAATCTTCTATGTTTTCCTGAATAATGAAGGTAGGTCAAGGTACTAAAGAAACCAAATTGTTGGAGTGGAAAGAAAAAAGACAGAGGTGTCTTAAGATCCTACAGTATTTGGCCAAGGCAGCTTGGCTGGGAGAATTTGACGAGGGAAAAGGCAGCATCAGAATCAATGGGGATTCCAGGAGAACTGTGGGCCAGTCCCAGTATCTCCACCAACTACACTAGTCCTGGATGTGCTAAGGGCAGGTGTTGGGGTACCATGCTCCCTGGTTTACCCCCTTCCTCTGAATTTCTCCAGTGAGGAGCATCTGGAGGGGACCAACCTCAAAGAGAAGTTCTGAGCACAAAATTACTTAACAACAGTACAGGATTTTTGTATAAATATTGTATACCAAAGGTAAGCAATGATTAAACTTCCTTACTTGCAAAGCCAAGGTAGGACGAATACAGTAGAAAAGAATGAAAGGAAGAAGAAATATGGGAAAGAAGAATTCACTTGCACTAATTAAAACCCATTATTGATCTTCCTTTCGGTTCACATATTATTCGGGGCTTACAAAAGCAACAGTCAAGTATTAGCAGCACTAGATTTTCTGGAATTATTTAAGCCAAGTGATTTTTATTTTCCACAAATAGCATATTTTAAGTGTCCCTTATGCTACAATGTAGCCTAATGTTATTCAGGAATCTTCCTTCTTTCTGTAAAAAGGCTCCAGAGATAAACACCATTTTCTTCCATCTTTTTCATTTTCGGATTTGGTGGCCAAATTAAAGCGCCAATAGATTGTGAAATCCACATGTGTGCTTGTCACTTAAAATCTCATCCTACCCCAAGTCTAATCTTACCTCTGACCACAGTCTACACTCTGGAGAATGTGAATGCTGGACTCAGTTTGGGGGACAGTTCACTTTGGGGGTGTGTATGGAGGCTTCCCTGCTGCATACCTGTACTTCAGTCATCTGGGAATAGCCTCGCCAGCTGAACCCAGGAAATTCCTGGGGATCGAACCCAAACCGAAGGATCTTGCCATTAGGTACAGTGCCATCTTCAACCTCATACTTCATATGATGCAAATCTGGGAAATAGTAGTTCCAGTCAGCCCTTTTATAAATGAAAAGTAGAAACAGATACATCAAGTTAGGCTCATTGATTATCTGAATACACTTTAATCCCAATAGTTACTGTTGAAAGCACTCCATCTACTTGACAGAGTACACTAAATAAGGATAATGAGGACGGCCCACTCCCTGCTATCTCTCTAAATTATTGCTTTCATTTGAGTAAACATCCACAAAATCACACCCAACAACTACTCATTCCAAGCATTAAAATGAGACAGTCATTTAGCACAACTCTCTATGTTGTCTAACACACCCTTTCATACTTTATAAATGGCTGCCAAGATCTAAGCAAAGTCAAATTAGGTTATTTACTATTCACCCATTCATTTATACACGTTTGCTCATTATACAAATATTAATATCTATGTGCCAGGTACGGTGGCTACCTGCCATAGACACAAGAGTGAACATGACATAAAATATTCCACATACCAAATCTGCAAGTTAAAAAAGTTTCTCTGTATATGTATTCTGATCACTAAAACTGCTTTTCTGTGCCTTATTTTCTCTGAAACCCTATACTCATGGGCTCCCTTCAAGAGCCCAAATGTGGCAGTCAGAGAAAGATCAAGCATATTCCGATGTTGTGTGAGGCAGTCAAACTACCTGAGGTTCTTCAAAACCATAAAGTTTTGCCAATCTGGCCACAAGCTGATAGCAGTCAGTGGATTCAAGACACAAAGATCAGTTAATCAAAGGAAATAAAAGGTCACGCCCCATATAGAAAGAATTAGGAATGCTTACATCTCTGGAAGACATTTACAAAGATCCTTAAAGATGTTTGTTCCCATTAACCTAGTGATTCTGCTTCTAGGAATCTACCCTAAAGAATGATTTTATATACAGTGGCAAAGAATTAACTTGAAAAGGTCCACAGTGGAAACTTGGAAGCAATATAAAGGAACAAAAATCATAAAATATTACATAACTATTCATATTCTGAAAACTAATGAAATGAGAAGCATTTATTATAATCAGGTGAAATGAAGAAATGGATACAAATTATACGAGAAAACATAAAGCTGAATTTTATTCACAAAACAACCTAGAAAAAATAAACCAAAAATATTAAAAGGGACCCTTGCTGGGTAGTGGAGTGAAGATTTTTCTTTGCCTTTTTACTTTAAATTTAAGAAATTTCTTACCATCAACATATGTTACATTTATTATGACCAAATTATTTTAAAATGAATGAATTGAAAAGCTGGGCGTAGTGGCATATGCCTATAATCTCAGCACTTGAGAGGCTGAGGCAGGAGGATCGCTGTGAATTCAAGACCAGCCTGGGCTACATAGTGAGTTCCAGGTGAGTCTCAACTACCCTGTCTCAAAAAACCAAAAAAAGAGAGAATTGAATTCTTTTTTTCTTTTTTATAGTGAGTTCCAGGTCAGTCTCAACTACATAGTGAGACCCTGTCTCAAAAAAAACCAAAAAAAGAAAAAAAGAGAGAATTGAATTCTTTTTTTCTTTTTAATTTTAAACATCAGATTTATTTGGAGAAAACAAAACAAAAAACCCACAACCCAAAGGATGGGATTTTACATCTCAAGACATCTCCCAGGTAGTAAGTCTACGGATTCCAAATCATTTTCATACAAGATATTTTTGTACAAATTTTACATGGATTCGGGAGTGGGACATAAACCAATCCCTGTTTAGTGGGGCAAGGAAGGGGAGTGGAGGCAAAACAGCTTTTTGGGTGCAACTCTTTGGAAGGAGAGCAGACACGAAGAGGGCTAACTCTGCCTTTTCGTCATCTACAACCAGTGGTTTAAAAAGCAAACCCGTTCAACTCAGGGCATGTCTAAAAGCCCACTTCCTAGCTACTGCCAACCCCGCCGATTGAGGGTAATTCTCCGGGTGTACCTTCAGTCCACTGGATGAACGGCCCGTTTCACCCACTGCTGCAGCTCACGCACACCCAACCCCTGCAGGGCTAGAGAGGGTCTAACCTGGGACCATGGGAGAAGAGCTCGTCAATAGAGACCGACCTACCCTCAGCTACCCTCAGCTACCCTCAGCTACCAAGGGGACAAATCCCATCTACCAAGCTGACCCCCAAAGCAAAGGTGCACATAAAAGCTATTGTGTTGCAAGAGAAACCAGAATCTTGTTAAATAGATCTTTCATTTTTTTTCTCTCAAGGGAAGCTAAAAACCACACTCCCTCCCTCAAGCAAAAAACCACACTGGTCTAGGCCGCATTATAAACCCAAGCATTTGTGTGGGATTTCACTGAAGACTTGTAAAGAAACAAAGCAAAACCAAAAAACAGAACCCATACCCCACAATCGAGGTTACAAGAAAAGCTTCCAACGTAACTGTCCCTAGTCCATACTTATTCATCCCCAAAGATCAATCTAGAGTTTTGTGATCTAGAGAAGGGACCAGAGCAGCAGGAGCAGGCATGGATGGAGGGAAGGAATGAGAATCAAGACATCAAAGAGCTGATTTGTTTGAGAAAAGCATTGATTCATCACGTCACAGCATCCAGTGGCTGACATAAAATGCCTAAGAGGTCATGTTGTGACTTATCTAGAAACTAGTCTCTGGGAGGTGAGAGTAGCGTGAGGAACATGGGAGATGGCTAAGACTCTGGCATTATTATTTTGGTGGAGACAGGATCTCATTATGTAGTTCACACTGGCCTCAAAACTTGCTATGTAGTACCAGCTGGCCTCAAACTCACGGAGATCCTCCTGCCTCAGCCTCCCGAGCACTGGGATTACAGGTGTGTGCCACCACACCAGGCCCTAAGAGCCTGAATTTGTTAAAGCTTCAAGGTTGAAAAAAAAAAAAAAGAATATATTTCAACTTTCAGAAAGAATAAGAGAAAGGACAAAACCAGGACAAGACTGGAAATTCCCATGACTCTTAAGTGCTTCTTACTCCATCAAACAACCATTCATGTGTTTACTGGAGGTCATACCATTGCCCCCTACTGCCTGGTACAAAATTATCCATCACCTCCCAGAAGCTTCTTTTCCAAGCACAATTTCCCCATTATTTTGGTCCCAACCAGTCTTATTCTTTAGTGGCCTGTAGACACACTCCCAGCTACCCCCCTGGGGGGTAAAAAATAAAGTTATTTCCCCTAGGCTGGCCCCAACAATCACAATTAAAATAAGAGGCAGGGCTGGCAGCCTCCTGGAGACAAACAATTTAAGAGACTCAATCTAGCTTTCCAAGGATGGAAAGTTTATTCAGATAATGCTTGACGATTCATATATGCCACAACAGGGTAAGAATGAAAAGGCAGAAATCTCACTGCTCCTTATCCCTCCCCTACTGCCCAAAGATTCCAGGCATCATATCACTGTCATTACCATTTCTGCTAAATGGAGGCCCCTAGGCACTAATGACACAGGCAGCTGCAACTGCATGGTACCCTAAGAACACACCACAACTTTTCATTAAAAAGCTGTAGTCTCTGTCTCTCTGGCTATTCTCTGGTTACTTCGATACTTTAAAGGCTGCAGCAGCATGCAACACAATTTCATTTTTTAAGGAAGATCTCCGGGAGATGGTGCGTTTTATTTTGCCTTGTCTGGATAGAGGTTTGATTTGCTCTTGAATGTTCCAGGGTGGAGAAAGACTAGGAGAAAGCACAGGCTGTCCAGGTCTACTCAGCGTGGTCTTCTCCTTCATTTTCATCTTCACCATCCACGGAAAGAGCAGCATACTCGCTTGCAGAACTGAACTTGGAGGCTGGATTTTCCTCAGGCTTCTCTGGCTCGGGTGCAGATCTAGAGTCTTGATCCTTTTTGCCATCTTTCCTGTCTGTCTCCTTCCAGTGGTCTTTGCTCCCCCCATCTCCTGGACCACATCTGGAGCTCCCAGTGTGGCCTTTTTGGACATTTATCCCATGTATTTTGTTTTCATCTTTCCTTGCCGGTCCTTCCTCAGAAGGCTGAGCTGGAGCTACTTTTCCCCACCGCTCGTAGGGGATTGCGGCTCTGTGTCTGAGCTCTGAGTTCCAGCAGGAGGGTTAGAACTTCGCTTCACCCGTGCATTCTCCTTTGGTGGAGGGGCTGGCATTACCTTTAGAGGCTGACCAGGTTTGGGAGACTTAGAAGTTGGAGAGTGACGGTCTTTCTCCTTATTGAGTGTTTCATTTTCTAGAGTCTTCTCACTCTCTCTCCTTCGGGCATTTCTGCCAGATGGGGCTGAGGTCCCGGTCCGTGATGACTCACTTCCTGTCCTTGACCTTTCCCGTTCCTGAGTTTCTTCACTTCGCCAGCTCGGGTGTCTCTCCCGAGGCCGTTGTTCTAGTTTTGGCTCATCCAACTGACGCTGCAGTTTCTCCTGCTCCTTCTGTAGCTGCTCCTCTACTTCTCTCTCTCTAGCAGCCGTGTCAGCAGGCTTTGCTCCTCCGAAGATGGAAGCCGCTCGACTGGACTGGGAGGTGCTAGCAGAGCAATCATCCTCCTGAGGAGTACTCCGAGGCTTCAGATTCAGTTTGGGTCTTTGGGGGGCCCTCTGTCATCACGCCTGTAATCATCCCCGGAGCCCCAGGGCCGATCATCCCGTCTGTCACAGCGGTCTTCATAGCGGTCTCCTCCTCCTCTGCAGTCGCCATCTCTACGGTACCCACTACCAAAGGCTCTTCTGCCACTGCCTACTCTGGAATCATAGCCTCTGTCACAGTCTCTGCTGCCTCGGTCATCATAGCGGTCTCGACCCCCATAGCGATCCATATCCCGGCGTGGGCCATCCCGATACCATCTCGATACCGGTCTGAATCGCAGCGATCTCGATACTTGTCTCCAAAGCCGTCATCACCTCTTCCAGGCGGGTTGTCATCAAAGCTGTCAGCAGCAGGACCGGCCCTCCAGCCTGTGTCTGTTTTGTCAGAATCTCGATTTCTATCTCGCCCAAAAGAACGATCATCTCTGTCTTTATCCTGTGCTTGATCAGCAACATCCACTCGAATTCTTCGGTTACCTAGAGACTCTTCCTTGAGACTGAGGGCCCTGAGAAGGGAATCCAGGTCCTCAAACTCAGCATAACCAAAACCTTTCAACCTCTCCGGATTGCTAGGTTCACATGGCAAACGCACTGCACTGATATTTAATACTCTAAAGAATTCCTTAATAGAGTCTTCCGTTACATCATAGGGCAGGTTCCCTAGAAAAGCAGTGTAGGGTGGAGATTTGGGAAGACGGCTCCGGTCGATATTGGGTTCCCAAGCAGCCCGTGGAGCAGTGGGAAGGATGGAACGGTCAATCGGAGGTGCCCTAAACACATCATCATCATTACTGTGCCAAGTGGTTGAAACGTCTCCCTCCAGGGCATCTGTTTCATCAGCCCAGCTGACTGGTTTGGGAACATAGGTGGTTCCTCCACCAGTCCCTCCATCCTCAGCCAGAAAGTCTGTTAGGGAGATAGTCTTTCCCTTCTTATTCTTCTTTTTTGCTGAGGCCGCCGTGTTTGGAGAGGGAGAGAGACTGCAAAGGACCCAGAGGAAGCAATCACGTGATTATAGCGGGCGCGTCGGGGTAGGAGACTCGAGAATTGAACTCTTTCTAAACTTGTAAGTAAATCTAAAAATACCTAGCATCTGAAGGGATTTGGTACAAAAGGACACAGGATCTGCCAGTCTGCGGGAAAGCCACCCTGCCATCAACACTGCTGGCTCATTTCAGTTGCCATTTACAGCTGAATCAAAGGCCATGGTCCAAACTTCAAGACATGTACGTATTTGCTGAAGTCTAAAAAGTCAAACGTTTCGTCTCTGAGTAATTTAATTTATACTGGGGTCTACGGCCATATCACCCTGAACGCGCCCGATCTCATCCAATTTACATGGGCTGCATTCTTTTATCCTGAAAATTAGCCAATCACCTACATACCCGGAAGGAGAAAAAATATTTGCCTAAATAGGAGAGCTCAATTATCAACACGAGTTGGAAAACCTTTGAGAACTCGGTAACCAGTTACACAGTTTCTCCCGTCCATTGTGAGCTCCGTAGCCACAGGAGGACAGATCCACAGACTCATGCCAGGTTTCCACAACACGGCCCTGCCTGAGAGCCAGGTAGGAAGACTGGGCGGCCCTGACTTTCAGAATCTGAACGCTGGACACACTGTGGGGAAAGAAGGGAAACATCGTACGGTGGCCACCACAGAGGGGTTTTTATGGAGCTGTGGACGAAGCAAGTAGTGACAATGCCTGAGATTTAGGAGATTTGCATTTCATAGAGTTTCCAGCGTATGACTAAAAGTCAGAATATTTAAACTTCACACTTTGCTGCGTCCGAAGAGAGTCGATGATGGATGGATCGCGGTTTCAAAATATAAGCGATGTGATCAAAAACGTGGTGAGTGATTACATTTAAAAACAATTTCTACAGTCAAAGACACATTATCACCCGCCCCCTTGCGCCAGACACTTATGCTGTCGTTCTTGTCACTTTCTGAAGCGGTTCTGGAAGTCCTCTTTCACGAGTTAGCCGCATTCTCCTGGCTGCCTTGATGTCTTGAATGGATTCAAAACATTGATCTTTCTCACTCATTTTGACTTTGGGAAAGAGCCAGGAGTTGCAAGGTGCCAGGCCCAGTGGATAAGGCGGATGAGGACACACCATGATGATTTTATTTGACTGAAACTGCTGTACTAGAAGAGACCTATGTGGCATTGACCAGGGGCATTGTCAGGATGGAGGATGAAAACTTCCTCTCATTTTTCAGGCCATTTTCTCCAACTCTCTAATAAGCCCCTGAAATATTCAGAGTTCACCCCAGAGTTCCAGGGTACAAACTAAGCTTGCACAATTCCATCAAGGACAAAAAACAGCCAGCATCATCTTGATGTTGAATCTTGATTGCCGGCCATATTTTTTTTCACAGATGGAGAACTGGGTGATTTCCATGGACAGCTCTGAACTTCAATCTCAGCATTATAACCACAGAGCCAAGTTTCATCTCCTATGACAGCATTCCTGAAGAAGCTGGAATCTGAAGTGGGAGTACTGCACGACTCCGATGAAATGCGTTCTTCGTGATCCTTGATTTCCACCACACTACAACACACCTTCTCTCACCCTTCGCCGGCAACACACAGGTTGCACTGAACAATTTGAAACTTGTCACACAGTCACTAAGGTTCTATGCGCTGCTTGTGGCCATGAAGATCCCTGTCCTTCCACCAGATGGCGCTGGGGAGCGGCCTTCGCTGTGTTTTTGACCACACCACATACAAATTGCTAAACACAGCAGGCAGAGATGGTAGGCAGCCATATTTCCCACAGCCCCTCTGGATCTCAGTCTCCACTTTGCCTCCTTGTTTTCACAGTTTGTTTTCATGTGCTTCTGTAAGAGAGGAGGCACTTCTTCCCACTTGGAAAGAATTTTTGATGCCTGCCCTTGCGACTCGCCTGCCCTCTTCCTCCCCTCGGTCCTGGGCCCCACAGAGAAGGAGGAGCTGAGTCACTCCTGAGCATGCGAGCGCCACCCTCTGTTATTCCCTGTGTCCCCGAGCTGGAGGCGACCTCTGTGCCCATCTCTGTCACTTGCCACCTGGCTTTTTGCAGCTGTCCAATCCAAACCCGGGAACTTGTAAGGGTAGGTGTTCCGTGGCTTACACAATGCAAAAGGTTTTACGGGCAACCTCACGCCCGATTTTACTGGACTCCCAGATACAGGTCCAGATTTCAGATGATGCCATACAGCTTTGGCTGCGCTTGATCCCTAGGACAGAGCCCGGCACGGATGGGAAGGTCTAAGACAGCTCCCACCCCTGGACATGGGAGGAGGCCTCCCGCACTCACCCCTGGCACGTGTTCCCCACCACATGCTTTCGGCACTTGCACACCCCGTCGGGCCCTCTGCACGTGGGGTCGAGCGCCCCACCAACGTCACACTGACAGCCTGGAAGTCAAGGAACACATAGTTACCCATCCGACCACCTCCACGAAACGTCTCCCTCCAAATGCCAGGGACCTTCTTTGCTCTGTCACATCTTATGCCTGGCAGGGGTTTGAAATATGCAGAAAAGGCCTAAGGGAAAATGGTGCAAACCTCCAAAAGCCTGCTTCTAAATTGGAGGGGCATGACGGCAGGCAGGCTGGACACCAGTCACATACGAAGGTGACAGGAGCCAGGGGCACCACTGTAAACATGCGCTAAGGAGCAGACCGGGGGTGCCAAGGGTAGCCTATGGGCCGGCTTCTCCTGCAAGCTCAGTATTTAATACAACCCTGCTCTTAAACTCTGGCTTCTCCGACAATACAAAATACAACTTTAAAATAAGTAAGCGCTGCTGTTATTTATAACCCTAACAGGTGCCTCCCATCCCAACTCTTTTTCCAATAATTCAACCAATGGTGATCTGGGAGGAGAGCAGGAGAAGCAGCTCCATTTGTGATCTATGACTTGTGCCTGCTGACGACATGGCCAAATCCCAGGACAGGGTGTTTCAGTGCCGTCCCAGAAGGCGGGCCTGAGAAGATGCCTCTGACCGCCTCTGCCCTTCACCACTGCTTGCCTCAGGACTCATTGGGCAGATTTAGCTTTTTTTTTTCTTGTTTTAGTACTGGGGCTCGAATTTGGGCCCTTGTGCTTTCAAGGCAGGCGGCGAAACCACTGAGCTAAATTCCCGGCCTTGGCAGATTTACCTTTACATCCAAAGTAATTCTGATTTTCCAAAGTGAAATATCCATCAGAGCAGGTGTCACAGGCATTGCTAGTCACGTGGGCCTTGCAGGGACAGTTCCCATTTCTCTGTAGAACAATGAGTCTGATGAGAAAACTGAGAAGAGCTATAGAGTTCTCTATCTTCAAGACAGAACTGGCTCATAATCCAATAGGAAGCAAGGCTGCCAGATCTGAGAAAGGTGACCATGAGGGTACAAGCAGAGGTGCGCCCATCTCCTCCCCTGGAAACCCCAGGAATGGCTGCTACAACGCTCTGCCACTCTTATACTGAAAACCAGCCCACGTTACCTGCACACACTCTCCAATTTGGCTCTGCGTCCCCGCCTCATGACACCTGCACTCTGTGGAGATAAGAAAGTGTCCTTGAGCCAAGGTTACACCGTGGATGGGTCCCTGCACATCTGCCACCTGGCACGTGCGTTTCCTGCACACCTCAGCGGTACTGCACCGGAAATTGGATTTCTTTCTGGAGTGAGCAGAACAGGTTGATCAATACAACCTCTCTAGGGGTCGCAGCTTATGGCGACTCCAAGACAAAAGCTGCAGCGGCATGGACTTTTTAAAATGAGGCCATGCCAAGGTCCTTGTTGGTGTGCTGATGTGAAAATATACTCTACTGAAAGGTACTCGCTTCACTCTTAGTACCCCTAACACAGGGAGTGCAACTTATCACTCTGGCTTCGATTCAGGTATAAAATTTAAATGGAGCCAAAAGGAGTGGGTTATAAAAGCAAAGAGGTAAAAAGCATTTTTCAAGTAGCTGCCTTCACACACAACAACCTACATGTGGGAACAGAACATAAATGCATTGCGGGGATTTTGAAAGTGATAGAAGTTCTGGCAAAAGTGGGAGAAAAAGGTGGAGGGGTTGAAGGGAGGGCAGGGGAATGAGGAAAAAAGTAAGAACCAAGATGAATTATGTAAAGGTGCAAATTTCCAGTGATGAGTGTCACTATATTGTATACCTAAAATGTACCAATAGAATTTTTTAAAAGTTGGAGAAAAAAGCATTTCAGAGATTTTCCGACAGATGGAATTGTTTCAACAAATAACTCTTTTGTGGGTGGAGTCAGGTGAGGTAGAGAATATTAAGAGGAAGCTATCAAGTAGGAAGTGATGGAGTGCTCCACGGAGGTTTACCTGAACACCCAGAAGGGTTTTCTTTGGCCAGATTCCAATACAGTGGTTTGCAGACATTACAGCTAGGACCTTCGACATGATCCTTGCACTGGCAACGCCCCTTTAGAGGAAAATCAAATTAACAGTGGAATTAAGACCTGATTTCAAACGTGCATTCTGAGCAGAGGCTCGTCACAGGGCCATATTCTGCCCATGCAAAGTAAATTAAGTATATCTGGGGGTTGATTCCAACAAGTCTTCTAATTACCTTTTCTTTTTCTCATTTACTTGCTGCACACATAATCTACATTATTGTTCAACAGAAATTGGACAATACAGAGAGAGGGAAATGCAAATATTGTTCATATCTGTAACTGTGTCTATTCGTGCTGTTCTTGGTGTAGACTATACATTTAAATGGATGAATATCCAAATGTTTAACAGATTGGAAATCTGTAAGGAATGATGCACATAGGAGAGTGCTTTGGGAAAAAGCAAGATTCTGTGCCTTCCATATAACTGAGCCTCACAGTAAGGATGCCAGGACCTCTTTCTCACTGTCTGCCCAGTGCCTGGAGGAACCTCAGAATACTATAGTATGTGCTTGCAGTATTGGACAGGTAGGGCAGTGTGTTTGTACACAGCCAGCTTTATTACAATGCTGGACCCTGAGCCTCAGAGTAACCTACAGGAAGAGTTCAACTCCAAGACTGAAATATAATGTTTAAGTAAATGTCATTCTTTGCCTTATGCAAACATCACAAAATCACCTATGCACTTGGAAAGAGAACACTGACCTCCTCAAGAAATTTGGCCTTGGGTCTTCCTTTAATTTACTTTTTTCTGGTACCAGGGATTGAACTCGGACTTCGGGCTTATGAGGCAGGGACTTTGGGCTTATGAGGCAGGTGGCAGCATCACTGAGCTAAATCACCAGCCCTCCTCTAATTTACTTTTAATTGTAAGAAGCTCCCACGTGGTTAGCGTTGAATAATCACCCTAATAGTAGAGTTGTATGTCTACTCACCGAGGTGAATCTGATGGTTCCGGCTATGTCACAGATTCCGCTAAGACCTGTACATGGTTCAGAAATGTCATCAGTGTCTCACAGTTTGAGTTCGTCTTTCTATTTCAAATTTTAAAATTTCTGCTTGTCTTTGCACCTATATTTATAGCTATAAATAAATAGGTGGCAAAAACTTTGTGTGCAATTCATAGACAGGCATACACCAAATGATGTTTATTATTCTTAATTCCCAAATCGGTCCTTTTTGTTATCAAACAACTCAGTTCCCTGTCTCCTAATAAAACACTAATTGGAGATTAGGAGAGTGCAAAAATTTTAACATCTTTAGAGTCATCCAGAAGAGGGCAGTATTGTACTAAGAAATTTTAATTTGTCCAGTTAATTTTCTAAATTCAGTTTTTGGTTAACCAAGAGTTAATTCTTTAATTATTATAACATTTTATTCCATACCTGTGCTAAAGTCATTTATAAAACCAATTTTTGCCGGGTGTGGTGGCACATGCCTGTAATCCCAGCACTTGGGAGGCTGAGGCAGGAGGATCACTGTGAGTTTGAGACCAGCCTGAGCTATATAGTGAGTTCCAGACCTGTCTCAACCACATAGTGAGACCCTGACTCAAAAAAAAAAACAAAACAACAACAACAACAACAACAACAATAATTTGCCACTCTGTGGTGGTACATACCTGTGATGCCAGCACTCTGGGAGGCTGAGGCAGGAGGACCATGAGTTCAAGCCCAGCCCGAGCAATTTAACAATTAAAAAGGACTGGGGATATATCTCATTATGAAGGCACTGGGCTTAATCCCAAAATACACACACACACTCACACTCAATTTATTTGTATTTCTGCCTTTGTCAACATAGCACAACAAGCCTGACCAGGGGATTTAGCTCAGTGGTGCCACCGCCTGCTTTGTAAGCACAAGGTCCCAAGTTCGATCCCAGTTACCAAAAAACAAAACAAACAAGTGGAGTAGGGCCAGTGTTTCAGTGTCACTATTACGGCCTTTACAATGGCAAACAGGTTTGGTAAGCCTGTTCAGAGCCCAGTTTTCAGATCATATTTTATATAGATCTGCAACCAAATCTTGTTTCTTTTATAAATTGTTCCTTAGCTTTCTGCCTGTTTCCTCTGTCTCTGTTCACCTCAGCTTCCTGTTGGTCTCTCCCCCTTCTTCCCCTACAGTCAACAGCCCTCTCCTCCCGCTCCTCCTCCTCTTCCTGCATTTTTCTCCATTAGTCAATGCGACCTTTCTGCTCCTTTCCAACACGGCCCTGCCCAGCCTTGGTTTCCTCCCTGAGGATCAGCACGGTACACAGCACTGTCCATACACCCTGTGCGTACGAAGCACCGGCCTCCAGCCCTGGCTGCTCAGCCCTCAAGGGCAGCCCACCCTGAGGGGTTGTCTTCAGGGGCCCGTGGGCTTTCTCAGGGGTGAGCACCCCCTCTGACTGCTGCCTGTGGTTCCCAACTTCAGGAAACCCCAGTCCCGGGATTCGGCTTGACAAGTCTGGGAAATTCGGCCTGCAGAGGGCTCTGGACAACACCGCTCTGAGTGTGATCGATGAGCAGTGGGACTAGGCCGGGGAGACCAGGTTCTCTGCGGAAAGCCTGGGTCAGCTTCCACAGATCTCTTCTCAACAGAGCAAAAGGCCTCGGGAAAACAGGCAGGAGCTCCTGACACACCCTGGTGGCTGCCCACAACAGGGAGCTTGGGAGGAGGGTGGGCATCACATTTCTGTCCCCTCTGTCACAGAACATGGCCAGCTCATGCTAGGTCCCATCTCCTCCTTGGCCCACTTTTTCCCTGGCACCTGTGCTCAGGTGTAAGGACACAGTGCCCCAGAGGGCAGGGGCAGCCAGCAGGGAGGGGCACAAAGAGCCACAGCCAGGGGAGCCAATGGAAAGATCCCAGTGTAGCGCATGCCCACAGCAAAGCCAGCAAGGAAGGCGGCACTGAGACTTAGTTCAGGGGCCAGTGAGTGCCATTCCGCTGTGCTCAGAGAAGTGACGTGTCCGCCAAGAGCCCCACCTCTGCAGTGAATGCAGATTTAAACTTAACTGCAGAACACATCATTTCTTCATTCTTTGAGGACACAAATGTATGTGTTTCAATGGACTTATACAGGGGCAGATTGGTTCATTCAAACATGAGGGTGACCAGGGCTGGATCTGCAGGGGATCTGCAGACCCCTTTGTGGGGCTGGCTGCATGCACTCAGAGAAACCCGCCCCACAGCACTCTGCTGGCTTTCCTACCTTGGCAACGGGGGAAGTCAATGGCTCCTGAGAGGCAGCGGTCACACTGTCGTCCCGTTAAGTGTGGCAGGCAATCGCACTGTCCAGTTATGTGGTTGCAGGACGTCCAGCAAGATCCCAGGGGTGAACACTGGCAGGCTGGGTGAAAAGAGCTTGATCAGACTGGGGCACAGGGCATGGGCGGGCGGGGCAGGGTCTGCATCAGAGTCTGGGGATAGGGCCAGAAAGACCCAAACATTCCAGCTCCACCTCTGAGTAGACCCGAGCCCACTTCTAGTTTCGGGACAGATCTAAGCCTCCACTTCCCTCTCTGGAACGGGACTGCTCTACTTGATAAGACCCTGGGGACTGAAGAGCTGCGGCGGTGCTTGTCAGAACGGCTTGTTCTTCTTCTTCTTGTTCATTTTGTATTCAGTAAGTGACTGGCGGCAGGTGGAGCCTGTGGGGCTGCTTCTCACATATGGAAACAGCCTGGCTAACCTGAGCCAGAGGGCTTCACACCCCAAGGAGTCTGGAAGGAACCTGAGAGATGGTCTCATTGGATCCACCATTGCACGGTGACATTCAGAAGTTAAGTGGCATTTCCAGGTCACCCAACTATCATTCTAATCACTGAACTCCCCACAGCTTGGGGAAATGTTCTTTACACCATGCTACATTGAATTAGTGGGAATCGGTGAATTAGTATTTCTGAGATCCAAATTAATATCCATTGTACTTGGTTAAAAAACAATAAAAAGAACCTTGTTTACAAGGTCTCTAAGTGGAGCCATGGGAGAGAAAAGACCCGTAAAGCAAAGTCGCACTTCTGGTGTTTTATGTATAGGTCCCCTGGGTTTTAACAAGCTCTATGAGACTAAGCCTAGGACCACAGCACCCTGCGGGACCAGAAGACCGTGCAGTTTTTATTCTCTTTGACGCTCACTAGTGGTGACTTATTCTGAAAATGGGTTTCAGTAATGATGATAATGAGTTTTCCCTCACTGTCTGTGGAATAAAAAGTAAATTCTCACTGATGGAGAGGAACTGAGCCAGTTTTCTTACAACTTACATGGGAATTCAACAGGTACTTCACTTGCTCAGAGAGACACACTGAATGGCAGATCCAGAGAATTTCCCACCTCCCACCCTCCCATTTCAAATCCACCCATCCAGCAGACACTGTGTGTGTTCAGTAGTGCTGTGGCTGGCTGCTGTGGTGCAGGTAAACACAAAAATACAGTTCCAGATTGCAAAGAACTATAGCTCCTAAAGAAGAGCTGGAGAATCACTGACGTAATATGACACTCCCTACCCCACAAGAAGCTAAATAGGAGAAACTGGACTAATGCTGCTCCACCAGCTGTTGAGAGGTAGTGGGACAAGGGCTCAGACCCCCCACTATCCTTCCATGGCCCCCACCAGGCCAGTCTGCAGAGATTAAATCCCCACGTAGAGGCGGATTTCTGAGGAAATGTTCTTGGTCTCCATGATGGTTAATTCTATGAGTCCCCATCCCCGGGCTATGGTATCCAGATATTTGGTCAAATGAAGGCCCAGATGTTGCTAGGAAGGTACTTCCTTCTTGGGGGATATTTAGGCACGAAGAGAAGAGTTTCTAGAGAAAGGGCCTTAAGAATGAATTCTGAGTTGACTCTGGGATTTGAGGAAGTAGTTTTCTAAAGTGACTAGATTTAGAGGAACTAATGACTATTTCCAGCAGCAGAAAAATCAGCAACAGACTGTGGCTTGATGTAGCAATAGAAATACAGATCACTATTAGATACTCCTGGGCAAGTACTTAGAAGAAACGGAACTTAAAACAGTCCTGTCAACCTCATAAGTATAATGAAGTTGGTTGGTTGCTTCTAATTATGTTGGACAAGGTGGGGACAGAACATAAGATATCTGAGATCTGAATGCCTGACTCAGACACAACAAAAATCACTTATGCAATCCTTTGTCTTCCTGAAAGCCCTTATCTCCTACACTCTCAGGGCTGAGACTACTGCAAACCAAACCCACAATTCCCATCCTGAAAGTGGCTGGACTAGCAGAGGGCAGACGAAATGCTGTTCCCAAATTACCAAGGGGAGATCCATGATGGGGATAAACCTTATGCCCTGTGACTATAGTCAATTGAAAACATCAACCCCCAAACCACCAATGGCCTAGACCCTATACAAAGGAGGACTGGGGTGACTCTACCAGATGAGGAGCCATGACCAACTGAGGTGCCTGCCGAAGCCAAACAGAATAGGGACCGGGCAGTGGAAGGAGGTCTTCTCAGCTACAGCCACATGGCAAGTTACAGAAGTGGTGAAGAAAGACAACTATAATGCGCATTTCTTCCTTATTTTGGTATGAATGTGGTGAGTACGGTGTGTATACTATGAAATAGGTATGTTTTCTTCCCTCATCCTCTTACCACACAATGTGAGATATTCAGATTTCATGCTGTACAATGAAGTTACAGAATACCAAGGAGAAGTGTGAACATCACCCAGGGATCTCACATCTTCTTCTGGGTAAAGGGTGAGTGTGTTTTTACTGTGTGCCTGATAGTTGTAGCATGCTAGGGAGAATTATGTCCTTGTTATAGTGTCTATTCAGAGGTTACTTTGGGTTTAAGGAGATATGGATGGGTGCCCCTTGAATGACTTGTGTTGGTTAGTTTCCTGTGTCAGCTTGGCTGGGCTATGATGCCCAGAAGTTTGGTCCAGTGCCAGTCCAGGTGTCCTGTGGACCTATTTTCAGATGAAGTTAACATTTGAATCAGTACACTTTGAGTAAAGCAGGTAACTTTCCATCATCATCCACACAAACAGCTGAAATCCTTAAGAGAAAAAGACCACCATTCTCCTAGGAAAAAGGAGGAATTCTGCCTCCAGACTGTCTTCCAACCATAGCTGCATAATCAGCTTTCCCTGGGGCTCCAGCTTGCCAGCCTGCCTGGCACACTTCAGACACGCCAGCCCTCACAAGCCATGATGTGGTCTCCTAAAATAAGTTTCTCTCTAGATATCCACACATTCTATTAGTTCTGTTTCTCTGGAGAACACTGGCTGATCTGAGCTCGTTTTGCTCTAAAGGGAAGTGAGTGTCTCAAAGGAAAACACTTGTGAAGGCGCTGAGGTATCCGCCCGCATGGTGGCTGCATCTCCATGGCCTGGTGCGGGCGGCACACACTGGCCCTTAGGACTGCAGACTGCCACTCTCTGGAGGTGAGAACAAAGACTTGCCCTTAGGAGCACATACATTGTTTTAAAGGAGTTACCCAATCTGGCAACATGCTTCTCACTTCAATCCAACCGCCCGTGGCAGCCGCCAAATCCCAGTGCAAACCCCAGCCCTGGCCATCCTCCTCACTCTTGCAAATACTATAAGGCTTCAAAGCATTCCATTCTGTTCTTTCCTGTGGTCCAGGTCCTCTGGAATTCCTGGACTACTTTACTTCTTCCTCTTTACTTCTCATTTGCTGTGCCCTAAGACGACACGTTTCCTCCCTAGGAACATTAAAAAATAATACAAGTTGAGCATCCCTCATCTGATATGCCTGGGACCAGAAGTGTTTGGGCCAGAAGTGTTCCAGATCTTTTTAGAGTTTGGAATATTTGCATAAACATGATGAGACGCCTTAGGGATGAGACCCAATTCTAAATGCAAAATTCCTGTGCACATAGACAGAAAGTAATTTCATGCTCTTTTGAAACAACGCCTCACTAAACTGCCAAGTTGGCCAGGCTGGGCCTGAACTTGAAATCATCACTCCGGCCTCAGCTTCCCAGAGCGCTAGGGTTAGTGTTAGATGTACCAATGTTGTACATTATTTTTAGTGTAGCTGTGTTTTGACTGTAACTGGTCACATCAAGTCAAGTGTGGGATTTTCTACGTGCATTATTTCACTAAATCCTGCACTGTTGCTCTCCTCTTCACCTTCAGTAATAAACTTAGTGTTTATTATTACTAACACTGCATAGGTAAAATATAAATTAAGTTACACAGAGCTCCTCACTGTCGAGGGCATGTTTTTATTACCACCATTTTGGAGCTTTTCCTTCTGGTGGGAAAACAGGCTGACACTTTAGTGAAACCCACAGAGCCAAGAGTCAGTGCCCACGATAAGTGTCACAATCCACTGCCCTAGGAGTGAGCATTGGATAAATTAAACCTACAGAAAATCCTAAGCCGTTCAGTGAAGCAGCTCAATGTTTTCTTACACAAAAATTGAATTATAATCGGCCAGTTCAAGAAGCAAAATTGCACAAAACAGCTTCAGAATGTTCCCTCTTTTCCCCCTGGAGAAGCTGGGAAACTTTGCCAGGATCATCCCAGGCCAAAAACTTTCCCATACACCATCCAACATCCACCATCATTACCGGATTTGCCTGACTCCTGAGAATCTGCTAATTCGGAGAAGGAAGCTATTGCACTGACAACATATTCACAGGAGTTTCTGCGGCCACATCAAACTCTAATGAGAATGGTTCTGGCCCCTGGTCAGGTCACTGTGCTTGAGGTTTAGGGGCAGCAGCACTTCAGTTCATAGGTGGGGTGGAAGGGACATGGACCACATTCCCACCCTCCTTCTGTTCTAAGTGCCAAGTAGTTGCTATCTAGAGAACTACACTAAAAAGGAGATAGGGAAGAAGACAAAAAGAGGAAGAAAAGAAAGAAATGAAGACTAGAGGAAAATGGAAAAGGAATGAAGAACAGGAAAAGAAAAAGATAAAGAATAAACCAAGTTAACAAAGAGAGTTGTCAGCCAGGGGTATAGCTCAGTGGTTCCACTGCCTGCCTCGAGAGCACAAGAACCCGAGTTTGATCGACAGTACCAAAAACAAAACAAACAAACAAAACACAAAGACAGTTGTCATTGTATTCTGTGGTCAAAGACAAAGAGTTGAATGAAACACACAAATATAAGTTTTATAAACATGCAGACAATTTGACAATCTGCCCTCTTATTGGTGGTTTTATTTCTACTTCTAAGAAAGAAAATTAGGTCTTCTTGTGAGCCAAAGTCAAAATGGGAGAATACAGCATACTTAGTAAAGTCTGGATTCAATTAATCTAATGCAGAACATAAATCCAGGTCTGTAGTTGGCATGAAAAGAAATGTTTTTAAATTCCCTTTAAAGAGCATTTTTTTAAATCTTTAAAGCAAATCAAAAGCAGAGCCATAAGAACAGATTTTGGTTCAAATCTATTAGGCCATCTGATGTAGCATTTTGAGCCACATTTGATTCTAAAATTCAATGGAAGAATTTGTCCTCTTCCTCTAAAAATGATCAGAAAAGCTGTCAGGAAAGAAGACAAGTGCAAGAGAAGGCAGACGGCAAGGAGAGCGTGCTGTGTGATCCAAATGATTCTAACCTAAAGCAACAGGCCACAGGAAAGACCTGGACACCAACCAGGAAGAAGACAACAGCACACATTTCCGGTAGAACTCAGAGAACTGCGTGGGAGCAATTTCAGGCTTCTCTAAGGCTGGACATGCATTAGGGGACGTGAGTTCTCAGCAAGGATAGGACACTAGGCCAGCTGCTTCCCTAGGCTTCAGCCCAAACAATGCTTCCCTCACTGCCCATCCACTCTTTCTGCGTGGAGTGGAGAAACTGGAAGACAAAAGGGGGAGGTACTAGAGGACATGGTTTACCCGGCCCCTCTGCATGGCAGGGCGAGTCTCTTCCCCTAACCAGAGCCAGGACTGAACTGCACACAGGACCAGCAGAGGCTGACTGCAAACATTCACCATAGGGACCACACAGCACCAGCGGGGGTCCTCCAGTTCCCCCCGCCTCAAGTCTGTGAGCAAGCATGCCACTTCCGTGCTTCTGGTGAGTTCCGAAGGCTTTGGGAGACCTTTGCAAGCAAGACTCCAAACCAGCCCTACCAACAATGTAAATGAGAAGGTAAGTTCTTATTTCTCAAAAACCTTGACTTCATTTAAAGCATTCACTGTGTTTTTTATTACATCTCATGAAGAGAAGAAAGAAGACTTCTAGAACTGCTTCATAAAGTGGCAGGAAAGACGGGATAATTGTGTTTGAATCAAGAGTGGGTATACTGAGGAGAATTCATAGCTATGTGTCTTTCACTCTAATATTTTTAAAATTTAAATATCCACTGCATTATTTCAGTCACAACTTGCATAATTAACACAATTCTAACACAGGCATCACTTGTGCTGCTGTTTCTACAGGAAATGTACTGGAAATTCTAGTTTCTGATGCTGTATTTCTGTGGTTAAGACAGAGAAAGAAAAGATATCCTCTTTCTCTCCTTACCCTCCTACCCTCCAGATGGCCCCGTATTCCAGCCGGGACTCCTGAGAGCTTCCAGGGCTCCAGAGTGGCTAGGATGAAGAAATGAAGCACAGGGAAGAGGTCTCCGCAGAGGGTACACCTGTGGAACCGCAGGAAGGGCAGAGTCTGGAGTCTACATTCAGACGGGTGAGCAAACACGGAAATGAACTGGGCCCAGGCAACAGGCTCTTACCACGCTGCTGAGGGGAGATGGAGCAGCTGAGGAAAATGGCAAAAAACAGGAACTAATGTAGGAGCGAGTGCTTCCAGGCTGAGAGGGCTTGGCACCTCGGTACCTACCAGAGCCTCCTGAAAAGGGGGTGAGGATGCTCTCATCTCAGGAACGGAGACACAGCTAGTGGGACCCATGCTTGGTCCTCCAGTGGAAGGAGGGTTTTCTTGCTCCCACTTCCCCCTACTCACAGCACCTCTAGGGGGCTCATGTTGCCCACCAGGGTGATCCAGGCCTACTCTCCCCACCGATACAGGAAAATGAAGACAACACTTGCCAGATTCTCCTAGAGCTGGGCCCCAGATGCCAACGTGATTTGCAAATTAGAACTCAATAAGATGACGCACTCAGGACCAGCCAGATGCTTCCTCCCCACCCCTTCTGCCCCTCCTCACTTACCAGGTGGGAGCCTAGGCTTCCAAGCACCCGGAAGGAGGCAATTATGGTTTCCTGTGTCTGACTTTGCAGGTGCTGCTCCTTCTCCACAGATCCCCTGCTTCTTTCCCCTACCTGGCCGGTTCCTACACCCTCCTCGCCAGAGCCAGGGCTTGAACCCAGGCAGCTGACTCCACAGTTCAGGCACTTGGCCACCGGGGAGGAGGAAGGGAGGGTTGGGAAGATGAGAGGCAGTGGTAACCGGGTCCCAGGAGGACAGACATGTGTCACATGCACATACGAGCCAGGAGCTAATTTACAAAACTGCAGCCACACAGATCTGCCAGAAAGGTCCTGTACAGCTAATCAGGGAGGACTTTATCTCAGAGCGTGGATCTATACGCTATGTGTTACTCACTTACCTTTGCAAAGAGGGAAAGAGTAGAAGCCCATGCTACAAGTGTCACATCGGGGCCCCTCCACTCCCGGGCGGCACAGGCACCTTTTCTGGTTGTCACATATTCTTGGGAGGACACCTTGCAAGTCACAGTCACAGTCTGTGAAGGACAAGGACCAGGGATGTCAGTGGGGCCTCCGCTCTCTGCGCCTTCGCACATTTCTCCCTTCCTTGGGTTTCTATTGCGGAAATAGAGTGCAACGAAGGATGGCTTGTAAACATTCTCCACCTTCTTAAATATTCAGGAAGGTCAGAGGCCCCTTTAAAAAACACCCAGAGATGGGCATTAGTTTACAACATATTCATAATCGTTCAACATCCATCTCTGTGGAAAGGCTTTTTTTGCCTTCCAATTTGAGCATTGTACGATAAACTCCAACGTAGTAGATTCCCACCCAATGGCAACCCTGAATTAAACACATTTATACCTTCCACCTTCCACTTCCTGGGAGAGAAGAAACGAACATAATTTCGGCCCCATGGCATGGCAGTGCCGCTTTGGGCGCTTCCCTGGGAGTGTCTCGCTTCATCCTCCAGAAATTCTGCCCTCCCCTTCCCAACTCAAAGGAAGTCATAAGATGTCCCATGAGAGAGGTGCTTCCTTGACCCAGGAAGGAGACATTCTTAGCACCAAAGACAGAGAATCGACTGGAATGGATCTGGTAGAGAACATAGAAATCACCCCTCTCTGCCTTTAGTTTCCCCGTGTATCTCCTTCCCAGCATCCCACAGATCCATGGTCTTGTCTCATCCTCACTATTTTTTTTTCCTTGTGTAACATGTATAGAAGCCATTGGACCTAATGGCTTCTTTAGGTCTTTATTTTTCATCTGAAGATTCCTGTGTTCATGTAAAATACTAAATAAATTTTTATGCTTTTTTCCCTGTTAATCTGCCTTGTGTTCATTTAATTCTTAAGCCCGGTCACAGAACTAAGAGGCAGAAGGAAGTTCCTCATCCCCTAAAGAAGTGACCAAGGGCACACTCGTGACCAGAGAAGCCTTGGAGCTCAGGCCAGTTTGGGGACCACCCTGTTCATCCCTCACAGCATCCACACAAGGTCCCCAAGGCCACAGCAATGCAGCCTGACAATGCTTCAGGGAAAGGGAATGTCTTACCGTGAATTACAGTCACAGGGTTAAACCAAGCTTTGGGATTTGATGGCAAACTTGGACTAGACCTTGGCTTTGAGATTCTAGGAATCCTGATAGACAACAGAAACAGAAAGACTACCCCACACTCCACCTGGGCCATGTGACTGTGGCTCATGGATACAATCCTGAACCATTCTCTCCCACCAGAGTTCAGAACCTCATCCTTTCTTGCCTTGATGATTTTCAAATTCTCCCAAGAAGAATCTACATCCTGCCTTGTGCCCTCCAACTCATTCTCCACTCTGGTGCCAAGGGTTATCTTTCAAAAATCGTCAGCTGTTCCATATCACTTCTCAGTTTTAAGACCTTCAAAGATGACCCAATGCCTCTGGACATGACCCAGCATCCTCCACAAGTGTGACAGAGCACATTCTCCCAAGTCTTCCAGGCTGCCAGTGACCCACCAGCACCCTTCATGCAAATTAAGAAAAGCTGCCCCTTCCCTAAGATGATTTTCTATCACATGCTGTGAAACAATCATCACAGAGGAACAAATCTGCGATGTCATCCGTGGGGACAGCACCCTGAGATAAGGCATGGCTGTACCCTGGCTCCCCACCCAGAGATTTCCCTCCCTCTAGGTGACCTCTCCCTGAGCTTCCTCCCCACCCTGTGACTCAGCCCAGGGAACCCCCTGCCAGCCCTGTCCATCCCCGCGCCTTCTCTTTGCTCCTCTCTGCCTGGCTGACTGCTCTCTGTGCTCCAAACTTAGCCCAGAGTCTCCTCTCTGCTCTAGAGAAGCCTACTTAGCTTCCCCTTCCCCCTCCACCCAGCCTCTCCTACTTCCCTCAGTCTTTGCCTCTGGCCTTAGGGCTGGTGTCCTACATGACCCACTGTTCTTCCCAGCCACTGCTCTTAGCTCCTGCTGTCGTGTATCCCAAAATGGGGGCTCTCAGGGCCCAGCAACTACATGACAAGGCCTAGTACAGAAAAGGTACTTAAACAAAGTTCAACGACTAAAGAATATGCTACACAGTGCAGCTTGCACTTTTGCTCATTAAATACCATTCCTTAAGTTCTATCTTGTTGGCAGGTTCCAAACTAAGCCATCAGAATTTGCCTATCTCTAAGCCTTATCTGCCAGGGAGATGAAGTACCCCACTTGGGGAGGAGATCCCCAGGAAAGCTTTCCCCCAAGGCCATCCCCTGAACTGCTCAGGGTTCCCACTTGCTTAGTAAGTCCCCAGGCAAGGACAAGCAGCAACTCCTTACAAAGCCATTGGAGGGAATCCAAACCTTTTTGTGATCTTTGCCCAGAATCCTCCCTCCATAATAAAACAGGACAGCCCTGTCTTCAGGCCAAACGGGCTGCTCATAGGACCATCCCAGATCACTTCCATGTCCCTGATGAAGAAAGCACCTAGGCTCTCTCCAGCTGTTGCTTTTGCTGGTCACTGCTCTTGGAACTGGGAGGACTAGACGTGTCCCTCCAGAGAGTCTGCTCTGGGTATGTCATTTCCCAAAGGAACCCTTGAAGATGTGTCTAATAATAACTCTTGACCTGGAAAATTCTAATATTATCCAAGGTCATGAAATACAGTGAAAACCCTGAACACAGACAGATCTGCCAAACTCTTTTCATTTGTTCCAGCTCTTCAGTGCCTAGAATTAAGTAAAGTCATCCCTGGTACCTCCAGGATACCAGAATCCAAGAATGCTCTCAAGTCCCTTATATAAAAAGGCACAGTATTTGTAGTATTTGCACATGACCTGTACACATCCTCTCATACACTTTAAAACACGCTTAGTTTACTCAAAATACCTAATGCAATGTAAATGCTGTGTACGTAGTTGTTACAGTGCAGCACATAGGGAATGAAAAGAAGAATAAGTTCTGTACACCACCTCTAGTAGGACACTTTCTAAGAAATATTTTCTACCTGCAGTTACTTGGTCTGCAGATAGAGACTCTATGGATATAGCGGGCCAATTTCCTAGAATAGTGGTCTCAATCTTGGCTTCACATGGAAATCTGGCAAAATACCATTGCCTGCTGTGGGATTCTGATGTAATCCTGGGGGCCAAATTTGTTCCTGTTATAGTAAATAGCATTTTTCTGGAACACAGCCACATGAATTCATTCCCGTTTTGCCTGCGGTTGTAGCCACACTAAAACAGCTACTGAGGACAAGTGAGGTAAGGCCCATAAAGTCCAAATCTTTACCATCTGACCCTTCACAGTAAAGTCTGCTGACTACTAGAAAGGAATTTCTACTATCTCCATCTGCAGTTCTTCACAAGAAATCAGGATTATCTGGAAAACACAAGCCTGAGCTTCATCCTGGAAATCCAGATTAAGATCTCAGTTAACAGATAGGAGTCTATATTTTGAAAAAGCAGTGTTATGAAACAAGCCCCTGCCCCAGAATTGCAGTAGTTCAGGACCAGGAATCCTCAATAGGCCTTCAAGAATTAAAATTCTTGGGATGGGAGGGTGTTCAGTATTGTTCAGGGCTGAGTATCTCCTGGCAGTTTCCAAATTTGTGCCTCTAATATTCACTGCCCTGACTTAGAGGTCCCAAAATAGGTGCTTTTAAAATGTACTAATAGACCAAATTATAATGGGTATTCAAATTCACCAACAAACCTAACTGCACTAGGTGAAACTTCTTTTACAGCCTCCCTAACATTCTGTAACACACTTCTGAGTCTCCCTTCCAGCTCAATTAAATGTCTTTACCTGAAGTTACCACCAGTCTACCTGAGGAGAGGAAGAAATTGAATAATAATGGAATTACTGTAAACACACTAAAATACTCTGAGCATCCTTGTAGAAGAAAACCAGAGAGAGGTGTGTTGTAATCAGGACTCAAGTGTTAAGTTCTGTAATTTACTAACATTTCAAGAACTCTTTGCTGACTGCCATGGTGCTCACGGGGCACGACCTTTAGTGATATTTGAACCAAGCCCTGTTCAGGTTCCTTATTCAGCCAGTTCCACCGGAAAGGACAGGCCCGAGTGGAGAATGTGGATGGGAACCAGATCAGTTGGGTGACATCTACAAAGGGCCCCTGACAAACTCCAGGAAAGAGGACTTGAACTTGGGCTTGGCAACCCATACAGGAAGTCAGAAAAGAAAGTAGAACATAACACTTTCACTAATGTTAAACCAAAAAAGAAGTTACTTGCCTTTTTCTTTTCTAGTTGATGTATCTATTTCTTTTCTAGTTGATGTATCTTTTTCTTTTCTAGTTGATGTATCTTTTTCTTTTCTAGTTGATGTATCTTGTGGACTTGGAGTAGAAACTGGAAAAATGGGAATTCCTATAAAGTAATTTATTAAAAAAATGTTCAAATGGGAAGGAGAATAAGGCAGAGGGGAAGGGGGGAAGAGAATAGAAGAAAAAATAGAAACAAAGCTTTTGTAAATAAGGAAGGGAAAGAGAGTTGAAGGGAGGGGAGGGGAATGGAGAAAAAAAAGAATCAAGAAATATTATGTACAGGTAACAATTCCCTATGATAAGTGTGATCTATCTATCTATCTATCTATATCAAAAGTGTACAAACAAAATTAATTTGAAAAAATTTTTAAAGGCAGAGGATGGCTAAGGAGATTAAAGTAAAAGATTGAGTTGCTTTAAGCAGAAGGAAGGCTTGTCTCAGTGAAAGGTAATGTGTAGACAGTGAGCTAAGGAAGAACAATGTTTGCTGTCTTTTCAGTGTCTGATGATTGAAACCAGCTGGGTCAGAAATTCTGACTTAAGATTAAGGGACAGAAGGAGTGTTTTGTGCTCACAACAGCTAAGTCTCGCCTAAGCAGAAATGCACTTGGCTCTTTGGTTTTTAAGGTAAAACTGATTCTAGCTTTGAAAAAATACTTCTTTCATATATTTTTCTCTTAAATTTTGTTTATGTTATAAAACTGACCTAGTTTCTTCTTCTTTCTACTAAAATGGCAAGGGCAACGTGTGCTCAGCTCCGATTCAATAATCTCACACGTGAAGTTGATAAAGTCCTCATGTGCTGTTATGGTATTTGGGCTTCAGACATTGGTTTCTTTAAATATATTTTATCATATGAACTAGGACAAACTCCATAGTGAAAGTGGATGTTTGTTTGCTTATTTGTTTGTTTGGTTTTCGTGGTGTTTGGGATTGAACCCAAGGCCTTCACACTGAGCTGCATCCCCAGCCTTTTTTTTAAATTTTGAGAGAGGGACTTGCTAAGTCACTAAATGGCCCAGGCTGGGCTCAAACTTTCGATCCTCCTGCTTCAGCCTCCCAGAGTACTGGAATTATATAAATGTGATACTATTCTTGGACTCTGGGTACTATTTTAATAATTACTCCAGGCCAGCAGGTGCAAACTGGAACAAACAGAGTCACCTCATTCACAAGAGTCCTGCCCAGTGTTCCCACAGCTCCATACTTTTCCTGGGACTCCTCAGTAGCAGTCATGAGGTGGTGAGGGAGTTACCACACCTGATGTAGCAATGGGAAAAGGGATTCCTTTTGAGACCAAGTTTCTTTGTCTTAACCCAGAAGTACAGTTTTTAATTACTGCAGAAGAAAAAGAACCAATACTTTTGTCCCACTTTTCATAAGCTGCTTCATAGTCTATAGAATTTCAAACAAATGTATGCCTTGTCTCATAGTGGCACTAAGATGTTGTGGGTGTGTGAAGACAGTTCTAAATAGCTTGGCCTACTGTACAACAGGAGGAAAAAAATGTATTCTCCTTCACCCTATGTCATATACTATATGTATACAAAGACCTGAAAGCTCAAGACACTTCTTCTGGGTCTCTTAAGAAAAGTCACACATATGGATTACGAGTAATTTGAAATATCCAATATCTGACCTTTTGACCTACTAAGATGGCAGAGTCTATAGCACAACATAACAACATAGGGATAAATAAGACTATAAAATGTGCTTACATCCCAGGCCTTCGGGAATACTGAAGTAACTATTACTTCCCTGGTCCTACATCTCTCCCCCCGCTACATCCTCAGGTGTTAATGCACAGAGGCCAGTGACAGCAGAGAGGGCGGCCTCTCCCCTCGCAGCAGGTACTTACCAGAGCAAACCGGGAAGTTATGGTACCCAGCCGCACACTTCTCACAGTGGTCTCCTTGGAAATTCGGCTTGCAGCGACAGAGGCCAGAGCCCTGTTCACAGCCATCCGAATATTCAGCATCACATTGGCAAGCTAAAGAATCAAGAGTTTCCAAGGATCAGTCCTTCACTGCACTGCGTGGGGCAGAAGTGTATTTCCCGGCAGTGCTTCCCACTGGATCGGTGGTCCCCGGTTATCCTTGGAGAACACAGCCATTCCCCACTGCACCCTTGATTGTTGGTTCTCAGCAACTGAGCCTCCTGGGCCCATGAGCATCCTCACTGGGCTGCTCTCAAGAATGTCAGTGATGACAGTGAGACGCAAACTACTCATCTACAGGCCGCCACCAGAGAGCTGGGGGTGGGGGAGGGGATAGGCTGTCGCTACAGGCAGGTCTGTTAAGCGCAACCTTTCCTGACCACAAGCTAACCGGGCAAGTCCACCTTGGCCATTAGGACCTGTTATGATACTTTTGGACACAATGGCTAGACGTGCATAGCTGTCTGTAGACAGCCTAACAATGATGTAGACATCACCGCAATGTTAGATTGGAAAGGTACAGCTTGCTGAAAGCAGTGTTTGCAGCCAAACCTGACTGTCAGGCTTCCATTTCAAAGCAACATGGTTGGCGTACGAGAGGTTTGGCAATCCCAACTCTGTGGCTTCCCTTGGTCTGGCAGTGAGTGACCCTAGACAGGGAAAATACTGCCGTTGCTCATCTGGTCCATCTCCTTTGAGGAACTGGGAGAAAAGGCCTCTCCTGATGTCTTCCCTATAATCTGTTTACCGTTCTGTGTCCTAGTGATAGATACCAAGCTTCTATGCATCTCTGAACCACTTAATGAAGAGGAACAAAACTAGGAAAGCAATAAAGCAAGGTTCTGAACAGGTAGGATTATATTAACAACGCCCTGCTTTCCTTTGTGATGCCCACCCTTTGTGAGCACAAGACAAGCCACAAGCATACTTTGTAGGGTGATGAGAAAGAAGGAAGGAAGTGGAAATGCCTTTTAACAACTAAAAATGCCCTAGAGAGAAGCAAATGGTGTTATACATTCTTTGGGTTTTAATGTTCTCAAATGTTAAAATAGTAAGAATTCATTTGTGGGTTAGCACAGAGACCAACTTCAGAGCTAGATTTCTTTTCCAGCAGTGACAACCAGACAACATAAAATAAGCAGTGTTGCATAATTTCTAGCCAAATTGTGCTGCTTGTGTCATTGAAAGCTCTACAAGATTCGCCATCACTGCTATAGGTTATATGTGTAGAGTAAAGTCTATAATCTGGCCTAAGACTCATGGTTCCACAGGGGAAAATTATTGCCATAATAAATGTTTTGCTGCACAGTCATGCCAGACAAAGATTAATAATATCCTGGATCTACTAGTTAGTGGTTTTGTCATCCAGATTGAAGTATTTAGCTACTCAAACCCTTTGGTTTTCTTCCACTTTGGTCATAATGAAGTAAGATCTCTATGTAAGTAGGTAATGCCTTGCATATGGCAAAGGCTTGGTAGAACCACAGTAATATTAAATACTATGACTAGTACTAATCCATATGCACTCAACTATGTTGCTTTGATGCTAATTCTGACAGAAGTTGAAACTACTGGACCACAAAAACATATCAAGGGAACTAATATTTATGGCAACCTAGTATGAGACAGTCCAATGCTAATTTTGCGAGGGGCTTGGATATAATTCTATGTAATCTCATAAATTGTATTATAATTTCTATTTACCTATACAAAATCTGCTCAGAGGGTTTATGTAACTAGAGGTCAGACAGCTAGCAAGGAGCAGAACCAATAGTCTGAACACAGAGAAGATGAGGAGATTGTTCACCAGTTAGTACTGGGCCTGATGGCTTTTTTGGAGCAGTGCGTACAGTCTTAGGTACAAAAAGCTGATATGGGCCGGGGATTTAGCTCAGCGGTTTGGTGGCCTGCCTCGCAAGCGCAAGGACCTGAGTTCGATCCCCGGTACCACCAAAAACAAAACAAAACAAAAAGCTGATATGGAACTTACGGGTGCAGCCAAAGGTGTCATTAACTTGAACCCCATGGGGGCGGTAATAGCCCTTAGCACACTCCTCACAGTTCACACCTGCCGTGTTGTGCTAGAAAGAAACAAACAAAGTTTAGAAGGAATGATATTGGAGAAGTCCGGTGCTCTTTGTCTCATGCGACTCACTCAGCTAAATTCCATCATTTCCAGTTGTAAATTCAAAGAAACTAAAAACATAAGCATTGATCTTAACCTTGGCTTTCCAAGATGTGCCACAGGATCCTGGCTGAACACTGGCTCTGAAAATTTTTTTTTCATCATTAGAAGAGGAAATGATGAAAAGATTCATAAACTGGACACCTCAGGCTGTTTCCTCTACCAAACAATTTACTTTAATGAAGCCCTTGACATTTGAATAAGAAAAAACTCAAGAACTAGTTCCCATGGCTTCATTCAGAAGAAGTGATGAGTGAATAATAAAGCAACTGTAGTTTAGCTCAAGGGAGTAGAAAGGTCATGTGTGCATATATGTCTTCAGCAATTTTGGAAGAAATAGCACATATAGATCGTCATCTCTAGCCATTCTAATTTTAGCAGTGTTTTCATCACAAATCCATTTTCTGGACATTTCTATTATATGACTAGAAAATGTTAGCATAAGTCTCAGACACAGAGCTCATTTTAAAGTATGATACCAGGCATCTTCTTCTAGTTCTTGGTTAATCCTTGTAATTACCACAAAATCAAATTACCCAACATACACCACCAGTTTCCAAGAACTATACACCATGGATCTAGATTGACTCTGCCTCTTTCTAATTCGGAAATGATTCGGAGGACGGTGTTCTTTCTTTATGGAAAGTAAAGGCAAAAGGAAATTAACAAGAACAAAAATAACATACTCTGACCCACACAAAAGTCTGCACAAAGACACAGAGGGAAGAACAAAGATCCATTCTATGTCTTCTCCCCTGTTTCATGGGGTTTTATTAACAACAGACTTCTGTTTATAACACCCTTTGTCCTGTGGGCTAAAACCTGAATTCAGTTTAATACTGAGGTTAAAAACAATGACGGTCACTTCTCTGACTCAACATTTATACAAAATAGGGAACAGCTGTAGCCCACCCTTCCTTCCATCAAATGCCTATTAACCCTCCACTCTGTTGCTTGCTGCTGTGACTTATAATAGACAAAGGACACCAGATCAACCTGCCAAGTCTTTTCCAATTAGAAGAGAAAATAAGAAATGTTCTCTGAAGTGGGTAGTCCAAGCTTTCCCTTTTAGCACAAAACAACTACCACAAAGAAGTTATATTTTTAAGACACAAATGAGAGCAATGAAAGACCAAGAATGAACAACAGATTATTCTGCAGATGATTATAGCTTGCTTGAACTCTTCTGTGGTTCTCTTGGACCTACATGACCAGAAGGCCAGATGCACCGCTGTATCTATCCATGGGCACCATGGTCCTACTTGGACCATGACCAGGTCAAAACCCAAGGAAAGTGGTCATCCATAACTATATTGGGGGAAGCAGTCTTCATGAGAGGAGTGGGTGCCTGAAGTTGCATTTTCATGACTCTGTAAGATGAGAAATCTCAACTATCCAAACTAATGAGTGTAGTGCATGTTGATTGAAACCAGCAGCAGACACCCCCCCCCAGCCCATCCTTTGGCCCCAAAGAAGCCATCTAAGGAAGGTCACCTAGAATCAAGACCCTGTTTCTGATCAGTCTTAGATCTGAATTCCTCCAAGCAGAGCTTTGTGTAGGTAGTTTTTCATCTTCAGGCAGATCCTCCCATCTCTCTATTTCTGCCTTTCAATTCTTTGACCATAACTATAACTCTGCTTCTGGCTTCCATTTCTGTGACTCTCAAGCACGTGGAGAATACTGCATAGTCTGTCCACTGGCTACCCTGTCCCAGGAGGTCCTACAGTGGAGTTTCTTTACTAATTCCTAAGGGCCCCACCTGGTCTGTCCTTTGCTATCTTTCTGGCCTCATCCAACTTGACTCCTTTCCAGCCACACTGCTCCCCTCTACAGCCTTGCAGGTCCCTCTGCTTGTAATCTCAACTCCCCTATCACCACCACCACCACCACCACATGCCTGGCTCATTCCTTCACTTCTGTCAGGTTTTTACTTAGATGTCGTATCTTGGGAAATTTCCACACTAATTAAAATTTCTCCTATCTAAACAAATAGTTAAAATAGAAAACCAAACAAATAAAAATGAAATCAATCCTGCATGAGAATACAGCTATCTCTGATAACTGCTTTCCCTACAGAACAGTGACTGGCTCTCCGATTCTGGTTGCATGACTGCTCTCCATGGTTTGAATGTGTCCCCTCCAAAATATAAGTTTGGAAACTTAATGGCCAATGTTAACCACTGGTAAGTGGTGGGGACTTTAAGAGGAGATGAGGCCATCAGGACTATAATGTTCCCACTTCGCAGCCCCAATGCTGAGCTCATGGCAAGTAATTTATCGTTCTCCTCTTACAAGCATTACACAGGACTTGTTCTAGGATATGTATCCTCTACCAACAAACCCAAACTTGATCTTAAAGTTTTATTAACTTTGTTAACTTTATAACTCACCAAGCCAAGTGGCTCTGAAGTGTCCCTCTCCTCTCCCTTCCCAGTCAGCATTCTCATGATACATAGGGCAAGGTTTCCCCTCAAATGAAGAAGAGGCTGCTCCTAAGCATTAATACACATCCCATCCTTCCTTTCCATTAGAAGTGCCATTTTATCATGTGACATTTTAACATCAAAATGAATGTGTTTCAAGATTGTCTTTTAGGTTCCATTGCACTACTTATTCCTACATTGTCTATACTCAATATAGATTCGTGATAGGTTTGAAATATCAGAAGACCACTTTCCCTCATAATTGTTCATCTTTTCTAAATTATATATTCTTATTCTTTTATCAATAAGAACTTCAGAATCAGTCTGTGTCCTTCATAAAAGTCCTGTTGAAATCTTGATTGATTGCCCTGAATTTATAGGTGGGTTTCGCAGAAATAATGTACAGTATTAAGCCTGGAAACACACTGTGTAAGTCTTAATTTATTAATTTCAATGAAGTTTTATAGATTTGGCTACAGATTCCTCCATCAATTGCTCTGTTGCCTCTTGGAACACCTCTAAACCATCCCAGCGTTCACAGCTGTGTGTTCTTTCGTGTATATGTTTTTGCTTTCTATCTTCTTGGAATCTCTTGAAATTCCTGGTTTGTTGATAACACACTTTCTTCCTAATTTTCACATTATTACAGATTCTGGGAGGAGGGCATATTGTGCTTTTTAAAATATCTTCTCTGTCAAGTTGTAGGATTTGTTGCAGTGGAGAAGGTGGCCATATGTGCTCCATCTGCTTCTCGATCCACTTGTTAGTTTATGTAGTGTATGTGTGTGACAGAGACAAACAATTTGGAAACAGTGAGATGCAAACAAGGAGGGAGCAAGTTTAAGACTTAGATCCAAACTTATGCTTTTATGGAAGACACGAATTGTGTTAGTTGATGGAGATAAAATATCTTTTTGCATTATCTCAAACAATATGGGTTATATTCATTCTTAAAAATTATACCAATGTTCATCAAAGGGAAAGAAACCAAAATATTGTGCTGCTGAAAATTTTTCATTGCTCTTTTCCCTCAACATTTTACAGTGGTACCTTAGTTCATGAACTTAATTTGCCCCACAATTCTAGAAAATATGGCCACATTTGTGTGCATGCAGGACAGATGAACATGATTGTGTTTGTCTTCTGATACAGTTTGCAAACAAAAACAAAATTCTGCCAAATGCTTCTGTTTGTAAACCAAATCGTTTGCAGTCAAAAGTGTTTGTGAACCAAGGTTCCACTGTATTTTTTTTTAATTTCTGATTTTACAAGTCAACCCTTATACACCAACCACAAGGTGTTTTCCATTAACGTTTCACTTTATCACATAAGTATCCAACGTAAGTATCCATCTATCCATTCCCCTATCCACCCATGAATCCATCTTATTTTCTATGCATTTTAGAATGAGTTATAGAAAAGAGTCACTTTCCCCTAGGTATTTCATACTGGATTTGATTAAATGGAGTTCAACATGTGTTCAGTTTTTGTTCTTTGACTGTAAATACAAAAACCACAGAGCTATTAATTGTACATTCACTCAGTTAAGAAAAATCCATATAATGTGAGAGTCAGCTCTTATGTAGATACAGAGCAATACCACCACATAAGAAACTTCCCCATGTCCCTTCGCTGTCAACCCCATTACCATCTTCTCAGAGTCAACCACAATTCTGATTTTTTCCACTATTGATTAGTGTTGTGTTTCAGAATTCCATTAAAATGGCTCTCACACAACACATGCTTTTTTGTGCTGACTTTCACTTGACATAATGCTTTTAGGATTCTTAGATGTTAGTGCGTACATCAGTAGCTTCATCCTCTCTATTGCTCCTTAGCTTTCTGCTGCAAGAATACCCCAGGATTTGTTCCTCCACTCTACTACTGATGAGCACCTAGACTATTTCCAGTTTAGAACTACCTAGAGAAGCTGTTAAGTGCCTAGGAGTAAATCTGTCATGGGACAGATGTATGTTTAGTATTATATCAGAATCCTGTCCCAAAGGGGCTGTACCATTTTGTATTCACACCTACCATCTATGGTAGGCATGGCTGCTCTACACCCTCATCAAAATTTGGTGCCTTTTTTAATAATTGTCATCCTAGTGACTAAATAGTACTATCCATTGTAATTTTGATTTGTGATTCTCTAATGAGTAAGGATATTAAGCATTACTTATTGGCTATTTACATACTTACTTTTGTGAAGTGGCTGTTTAAATCTTTTGGAAGTTCTAGGGAGTTATTTTTGTTTTTATACCTGATGTGTGAGAGTTCTTTATATATCTTGGATGCAATCAGTTATCAGATTTATTTTTTTAATATCTTCTCCCTGTCTTCAGCTTGCCTATTCACTTCCTCAATATTGTCTTTCATGAGCAGGCATTTTTAATTTTGATGAAGAAGTTTAATTGTTCATTTTTCATTGTTATTGCTATACATGACCTAAGAAAACTTTCTCATTCTCTGAATCAGAAGAATATTTTTCTGTATTTTTCTCTAAAGCTTTAGTTTAACTTATGATCCACGATTCATACCAGTTTGAATTTTATGAGATTTGAGAAAGGATGAACAATGATCCTTTTTCACATAAAATCTAATTTTTCCAGGCACATTTGTTGAGAGAGCTTTCCCCTCATTGGACTGTTTTGGTACTACTATCAAAAATCAAATATCCCCAGAAGTGTGGGTCTGTCCTCTGCCCCTACTCTGTTACTTTATGTCAACATCTCATTGTCTTGATTACTGTAGCCTTATAGTTAGTCTTGGAGTAAAATAATATAAATCTTCCAGCTTTTTATTTTATTTAAATCTATTTTAAAAGATACAGAAAAGCATAAAAATTGTGTATAGCTATGGAGTACAATGTAATGGTTCCATACATACATACATTTCATAATTATTAAATCAGGGTAGACATACTCTAACGCTTTGAACATGAATCATTTCTTTGTGATGACGGTAACTACTCCAGATGATTTCGGATACTGTGAGCAATTTACATACCTATACATACTTCTGAGTCTGTTTGTCAACTCCTACCCAAAGCCTTCATTACATCTTTGGATCAACTTGAGGAGAACTGACGCCTTAACAATACTGAACCGTTCAATACATAAACATGGTTATCCATTATTCCCTCCTTTCCATTTAGATCTTTCTCAATTTCTCTCAGTATTGTTTTATAACTTTAGTACTATATAAAGGTCCTGTACACCCTTGCTATGTTTATTCCTAAGGGTTTTTTTTATATTTTAAAATTGAATTTTTACTTCATTTTCTTATTGTTCCCTGCTACTACTACATAATATTCCAATTCATTTTTATATATTATCCTCGTATCTTGCAATCTTCCTAAATTCACTTATTAGTTCTAGGCATCATTCTGTATATGCTTTAGGGTTTTCTATATAAATAATCTTGCTACCTGAAAATAGTCAATTTTGCTTCTTTCTCTTCACTTCTTTTTCATACCTTATCACAATGGTTAAGAACTCTAAACCGAGCGTAGTGGTGCATGCCTGTAATCCCAGCACTCAGAGGCTGAGACAGGAGGAATGCTGTGAGTTCGAGACCAGCTTGGGCTACATAGTGAGTTCCAGGTCAGTCTCAACTACCCTGTCTCAAAAAACCAAAAAAAAAAGAACAACTCTAGATTAGTGTCTACCAGAAGTGGTAAGGAATAAACATCCTCGTCTTGTTACAATATTCAGAACAAAAGAATTTAACATGTTACCACTAATGTGATGCTAGTTGTTGGATTTTAATAACTGTCCTTCATCAAACTGCAGCAGTACACTTCGCCTAGTTTGCCAGGAATCAGTGAACCCAGCTGTTCTAGAAGAGGTGAATAATGAGAGCTTCATACTCAGTATTTTGACAGACACCATGAACCAATCATGATGCACTTCCTCAATGTATCTAGACTCACAATCTGCCTGAACCAGAATTCAAGGTCAGTACTGAAGCCCATGCCTATTTGCTCCTCCTACCGTAGAGCCTTCCCACCACATGACGCACATGATGGCTAGTAGCCAGGAACTCTCCTCTCCATTTAGGCAAAGACTGACGTGAAACACAAACTCAAAGGAGTTTAGAGAATCAAATCTCCATCCACTTTGTATGGTCCCTAAATTACATCCAGCTAACAAGACCGTTTATGGCCAAAAGTGGAGAAACAGTCTCAGAAAATACTCTTAATTGCTCCTTATTCTTTTGACATCATTTTGAGAGCAGGGCTTACAGAATGCCCGTGCCCTATTAAATCCACTTTGATTTAACTTGTTCCTCACCTGACAATTGATGCAGACCCCTCCACCTTCATAGATGCCCTGGGTGTTCAAGCTTTTATGCTGGTCTTCAACATCTGGATTGTAGGAACAGTCTGAGGCATGACCATGGCAATTGCAGGCTGAAAAAAAGCATACCAGATCAACATTCTAAACTCCCAGATGGTATTACTGCTCACTGAACAATAGTAAAGTCCTTTCTGGAATACCAGGGCCAGTCTTGGAGAAGAATTTTAGGGATCTTTACACAATGACCAATATATAACATTATATTGTGTATAGCTCTTTCCATTTGATATTAAATGCAAATGGTTCCTCTTTTGTGAAAAGTTAAGATATGCAATTATAACAAAATGACAATTAGACTTCATGCACAAAGACTATTACTATTACCGATATCACTATTATTAATACTAATTGAGCTCATACTGTGAGCTCACATACTCACATGCTGTGAAAAGTGTTTTGCACACATTATCACACAATCTGCTCAGTAACTCTCTAAAGTGAGTAACAGTATTTCACAGCCCAGACAGAAAAACTGAGTCTCAAAGGGGGTTGTTTCCTTAACAGTGGCCCTGAAGAACAAGGGTAGAAATGCTGGCAATTTTATTTTAGTATATTGTTGTAACTGCTCTACTTTTTTTTTTTTTTTTTTTTTTTTTTTTTGGTACCGGGGATCAAACTTTGGCACTTGTGCTTGCAAGGCAGGTGGCAGAACCACTAAGCTAAACCCCCGGCCCCTGTTCTGCTTTGTTACTAGTGCTTGTTATCCCTTTCCATGTCAGTTTATAAATCCAATTTTATGACAGGTGTGTATATATAGGAAAATATGACATATACAAGATTCAGTACTACAATCCTTGGTTCTAGGGCATCTGGGCGCTTACCCCAAGAATAAGGGAGGACTCCTACACACTATCAGACGCAAGTCCTAAAGCTGACATGAGCCAGCCTCTTCACAGGTTTGGAAAAACATGGCATCATTCTCAGGTAGAGAAGAGAGAAACCAATGCCACCCAGCACCCACCTTCACACTCATTGTTCTGATGTGATGTCCCTGGCTTCCAGGGCTTCTGATTGAACCCAGGACAGCAGATATTGCAAGTCTGCCCGCAAGTGTTGTGCTGGCATTCACATTGGAACCTGGGTGTGTAGGCAAAGCATATTGCAGTGATTGAAAAGTTTTGGTTAAGATCAGTTGTCCCTGTGTGCCAGAGTAACATGCAAATACAGTCAAGGGCTCATCCATGCAGCATTCACTAGGTAATTATGATAACAAACCATTTTGTGTATATGATTTCAAGCCCTCCATATCCTGCTTATCTCCATTTCTTATCTCCATTGATGGTGAAACTAAAATGCAGAGGTAGCACACTTGCCACAAGTCAAGAAGTGATAAAGGGAGAGCCAGATTTCAAATCTAAGTTTGACTCTGTAGCCCCCCCCACTCTCTCTTCTCTATCACATTATGTTACAATAGATGAGCCAATGCACAAGTGAGCGCTAAGGTTCCTGGGAGGTGTTCAGTATCACGGGTTTACCAGTGTCTGGATTAGTCCTGGAGAAAGGTCTGCTTATGTTTCCTACTTTCAACTTGTGGTCATGCACAGAGATTTTCTGGTCAAGTTTCAGCTACCATAAAGACATCAGAGCTCTCTGCTCCATCGCAGGGCCAAAAGCTGAGATCACTTGGCAAAGCAAAGGTGTAAAAATCTGAAAATCTTGCATTTGTCTTAACATTGTTCTATTTTAAAATGAAATGGCTGTTGCTTTGGTATTGGGTTGGAACTCGAGCTTTGAGTTTCCACTAGTCTATATGGGCAAGAGGGTTCCAAGCAGTTGTCTAAGAAGCTCCTGGCAGGGCTGTGAGATCCCCTCAGCTCTCCTTCCAGGCGAGGTGGGATGGCACAAATTCAGTCACACTCTTATGAGCAGGGGTCATCTCACTCCTTGAGCAGCTGCCCTTGAAGGGCATGGACATATCCTAGCTGGCAGCACACAGCAGCTGGAGTGCAAATGGGCTCTGTCAGGGAAGCAACTCAGCTCACTGCCAATGAAATACTTGGCATATGCTGGGCTGAATGAATATTTAGGGACCATCGCTTGAAGAACATTCGGTCCATCTATCCTCAGAGGGAAATTTCAACTGAGCACAGTATCAGAGAGAGAGAGAGAGAAAGATGAGTACCGTCTGAGTCATGCTGTCATTGCTCTTCCTAAATACCTCTCAGTCTAGGCTAAAGGTTATTCAGAACATCTGTCCTTGTGCCTGCTATAACAATATTATGAAACATATTATTTAGTAGAGAATCCTTTTCATAATGACCTCTCTGCCCACCTCCCAGAGAACATTCTTATCCAGTCCCAATATCTATAACCTGTTTCTCCTAAGCTATTGACTGATTAGTTTTTAGGTTCCAATCATTGTGAAATATGAAACATCAATCAAAACTACATTGAGATTCCATCGTACCCCAGTCCCAATGACTATCATCAAGAATATGAAAAACAATAACTGCTGGTGAAGACGCAGGGCAAAGGAACCCTTCTGCACTGCCAGGGGAATGTAAGTCAGTACAGCCACCATGGAAATCAGTATGGAGGTTCCTTAAGAACCAAAAAATAGTTGCCATTTGATCCCACTGTGCCACTCCTCGATATGTTCCTGAAGCAATTAAAGTCAGCATTCTACAGGGACCCCTGCACATCCATGTGCACTGTGGTGCAATCGCAATAGCCACAATATGGAACCAGCCTAGAGAACAATCACTAGTTGAATGGAAAAAGAAGGTGTAGTGTATACACCCAGTAGAATAATATCCAGCCAAAAATGAAATTCTGTCATTTGCAAGAAAATAGATGGATCTGGAGACCATCATGTTGAGGAAAATAAGTCAGAACAGAAACACAATATTGCAATTTCTCCCTAATATGCAGAATCTATAAAGGATGACAAGAAAGCAGAAGTGAAATTGTTATTAGACAAGAGGAAGGAAATAAGGGGGAGGGGAGGGAATGAAAGGGCAGACAATGGAGAGAATGGGTACGAGTAAAATATATTATACACATTGAACCTCCCCCCAAAATGTGAAATCAGCAGGAAGAAGGAAGGTGAGGGAAGTGATGAGGGGAGCTGAAAATTGTCAAACTATGATATCCATGTATAGTCTGCCAAAATGAAACACACTAATCTGCATAATCAATATAAAAACAAGGAAAACAAAATAAATATGAAAGCAAGTAGCTTTCCCTTTTAAATTGGCTACTAGGAAGCTCAGAATTAAATGTGTGATCCATCTCTCCAACCATCAAAGTCAGTATGGTATACATGCTTGGTTAAAGCCTTCTGCCTGATTAGCAACTAACTTAGTGACTACCCAGCCTTGGCTCCCTCCACTAAGTCACTGAATCCCCTTAAGAATACTGTAAGAGGACCGGGTATTTAGCTCAGTGACACTGCGCTTGCCTTGCAAGCACAAGGCTCTGAGTTCGATCCCTGGTACTCAGGGGGAAAAAAAAAAAGAGAATACTGGGGGCTGGGAATTTGGCTCAGTGGTTCTGCCACCTGCCTTGCAAGCGTAAGAGCGCGAGTTTGATCCCTGGCACAAAATGAAAAAGAGAGAAAGAGAAAATACTGTAAGATTTTTCTCTTGTTCCTAGGTGTAGATTTCATCAGCACTTACTCAAGGTCAGTCTGTTGGGCAGGAGAAAACCAGTAGACAAAGGAACTCAAAGTAGTCACACTGGAGTGGACTAGCAAACTGAGTTTTTCACCAAGGCACAGGAAGATGACCTCTCTATTTGCACATACTGGGAGATATTTAATACCCAGGACAAAAGGTGCCCAGGTCTGTCAGGGTCAACAGGGCTTGGCAGCCCTTCTAAGGGGGGAAGCTGAGTCCTTCTCCAATGGCTTCCATTCCTGTCCCACATGGCACCATTTTGTTTCTCCAAGTCAGGACTTATTTGCTTTAGTACTGTAGAGCCCTACCCTCCAGAAGGGAACACGGTGAAGACAGGACAGTTGCTAATGAGCAAGCCCTTGCTGACAGCACATCAGTCACTGGGTGGACAAACACCCTCAGAGATACTCTCTCATCACCATGGCAACATTTGGATGGATAAATACACAAATACAGACAATGAAATACTATTGAGCCTTAAAAGGGAAGGAAATTGCTCAACATGGATGAACCTTGAAGACACTATGCTAAGTGAATTAACCAAAAGAGACACTGTAAGTTCCCACTTCTTTGATTTCTCTCACATCACCACATTACCACAAACCAAAAGAGGCACTGAGCTTGGTGGCGCCTGGCAGGTATGGGCGAATGGTTGTTTGATTGGGATGGAACTGCAGTTTTGCAAGATGAAAAGACTTCTAGATTTTGCTTTCACAACACTTGTGATTGTACCCAACACCACTTAAAATGGTCAAAATGAAAAACTTGGTAATGTGCATTTTACTGCAATTAAAAAATATATTTTAAAAGAATTTGAAAATCTATAACCCTCCCATCTCATTAAACCAGGGGTGATAAATAAATTTTACTTTTCTTGCCAAACTTAATCAGTGATTAATGGCTTGTCTTGTAACATCAGATAAGTCACAAAAGGAGGCTTGAATTATGTCATTTGCATCTAGGACCGGCTCTATTCATGATGGTTCACAGCGGGAAAAAGTGATGACCTTCACCTTAATCTGAACGGATAGAACACACTAACAACTGGGAAGCACCATCCAACTATGCTGCCACAGGAACAGCAGAAAAAGAACGTCATAAAAATGACAACAGAGCTCACCCTGGCCTGCCCAGAAGCCTCATTCTAGGGAAATCCAATCACTGTCAGCCTTCTGGGACCAATGACATCAAACACTGGGTATGACTTATGTGTTTAGGATATTTGAATAACTTCTTTATAATAAATGTTCACAATTCATGATTGTTCCATATTTACTCTGCTTTCACCCCTCATTAAGTACTTTTTATATGGGTACTTTTAGCACCCCCAAAAGCATCTAAAGGAAATACATTTATTACCTTTCACAATTCTTTTAAATCACTCAAGTATAATTTGAACTAGAGAAAAGCATTATTTAAACATTTGCAAACACCATCCTTACATAGATGATTTAGAAACAGATTTTCATTGTTGAATTCCTCTATGTAGGAAAAATTTAACCAGGGCTGAAATACATTTTATTATCTAGCTTATCATGTCTTGAATGGTAGTGACACTGGTTTTCTGTTTGCATGAGAATATGTTCATAGTGGGTCAGACCCAGGGTGTGCTCTTATCTTCTGTGCCTATTCCACCTTGAGGTAGAAAACATCAAACATGGCAGACCCCACAACCAAATAAATGGAAAATCAAATTGCAGGGGACAAAATGATTAGCGGCTGCCTGGGACATCTGCTTCACTTAGGGGTGGTGGCTGTCTCCCATATCATCCATGGAGTGCTGTGATTGATTAATCACCATGGACCTACTGAGGATCTGCAGAAGGAAACAGAGGGCTACAGGAGGAGAGGTGTGCATACATCATTTTTGTTGACCCTGAAACATTCTGGTTGAGGGCAGGAGACTACAAATATTTAATGGTATGCAAACATCCACTGAAATAATTAGACTTATTCACAACAAGACTGGAAAAGCTGCACAATGTACATACCGTTTTTGGGGATTGTTTCTGTGGCACTCTTCAGCATGGCCATTGCAAAAACACCATGCACCAATGCTGATATCCATTACACTGTAGAAATACTACACAACAAAAAATGGAACAGACCAGTTTTATTAAACAGCAACATGATCATCTCTCACTCATCTTTAAGCCACATCAGCATTGACTCAGCTTCTGTTTTATTCTATATTCTTGGACCAATTCTGAACATGACACAAAAAGGAGCCTTAGGTAACCTGTCTTATAAAATGCACTCTTCAATCACACTTAATTTCAAAGAACTTCTAAATTTGTTCCTTTTTTTAAAATCAGGGATCGAACTCAGGACCTTGTGCTTGCAAGGCAGGCAGTGGAACCACTGAGCTAAATCCCCAGCCTAATTTGTCCATTTTCAAAAGAACCAATTGCTTTAAATGCATGGAGGAAAATTTTCTTCAAGAAGAATCATACTGATAGCTGGAAAAGAGATTAAATGCTTCCAAGTTTGTTGGTCTGTTTGTAAATCTGGATTTTAGAAACTGAAAATATTTATTTTCCAAAAATAAATTCTGTACCAAAAATTGTGCAACCTACCATCCTAGGATGCAGGAAGGGAAAGAACATTTATAAAGATGGACCACCAGTTGTTGGCAGTTGTTAAAACTTTGCTAGTTTAGGGTCAAAAGGCCAAAATTGAGGAACTCATCTCCAGCAAGGCCAGACAGAGCCAGCTTTCAGCTGTGCAAATATGCACAGACCACCTCAGTGCCAAGGTACCTCTTCAGGGTGCTGGAGGCCTCTCCGCCAGCAACAGCAGGTGGTCCCCACCTTCCCAGATTTGGCAGGAGAAGCACAGTACAGGGAGAAGTGTAAAGAGAATGAAACAATCCTTCCCTCTGAGCCATGCTGCAGGTGAGAATACCTATCAGCAAGGATGTCTTTGAATTCCTAAGGACAAGGAGGTGTCTGTATTTGTCTTGTTGTTGAGTGCAGTCATCTAGGGAGCCCTACTCATTTGAAGTTGGGGTTCCCTAATTAAATATTGCTCAAGTGTCAAAGCTTCCTGGCAACACTTGGCTTAGTCCAAACCATTAACAACCCCTCTGGCAACACTAAAGTCAGGGTTACCAGTGCTTTTGGTGACAAGTTAACACCCAGAGGCTATGCTGTCAGCCACAGAAGTTTTTCTTTCCATGTGTGTTCAGGGTGCAACAGAGAAAGAAGCACTGGATCAGCAGCACACAGGGCTATGCGACAGGATGGCTGGCACTGAACTCCTCCTCCGTTGCAGAAGCCGCTTAGGCTGGAGAGTTCAGGATTATATATGGGGTACTCTCCATAAAGATTACTTGATGGAAAGTCTATGTCTACCTAAGTGGAAAGATAGACAATGTAGACAAGAGCACAAATCTGGCAACCATCAAGTAGACAATTTATGGGGGGAAAAACAGTGGCAAGCTAGAACATAGCTGTAGTTGACCAGCAATACCACCTGTCTGTCTGTCTATCTTTGGCTCCAACTCACTATCTACATGGTGGTTCAGAGAGAACCATGCAGCAGTAAATGGGGGAAGACTTATCACCTATACCCAGAATGCCTGGCTTTTCTGCAAAATGTTCAAAACAAAATATATTCTGTCCTTTTCGCTCCCCAGCTCTTTGCTATTACCTACATGAGAAACCAACTCTAGAAGGTGCACTGGACTCTCCAATTCACCCTTCCAGGCAGGGCCTGCCTTCTGCCCTGAAGCTGAACTCTCTGGGCTATAATCATGGCTCCCTGGTTTTCTGTTGGCTTTGGCCAAGAGGAGGGGCCTGCTGGAGATCAGAGGGTGAGAGAAGAGTGATAGCTGGGCACTTGTTCTGCAGTGCCCCCTGTGGCCCAGAGGCAGAGCTACTGTCTGTCCTGACACCTGGGAATGAGACATGTCCAGGGTGGGCATCTAACACCATAGGGAGCACTAGAGCTCACTGGTATCTACCTTCTCCTCTACATCAGTTAGGTTCACTGCTCAGCCTACTACGCCTACATGGGCTGTAATGTGACCACTTCTACTGTGACCAGTGGCAGTAGATCTTCTCCACACTCACTCTTCCCACATTTGCAGACCTGAGATCCTCCAGAAAAGAAAGAGCCTGGTTCCTTGATTGACTACATGTTTCCAGTCTCACCTGCTGACCTACCCTGGACTTTGACATGAGCAAAAAACAAACTTCTATTTCATTAAGCTTCTGAGATTTGGGGACTGTTGAATGCAGTAGGAGTTAGACCATGTAGACAAACACCAGGCTGACTGTAAGCTTTTGCCTTTCATCTTTCAATGCAATAAATTTTCTTCAAACAGCCAGATTCCTAATTACATCTAATATTTCAGACAAGAATAACCCCCATGCCTCCATCACTAATGGCCATAAAGGTCACTTAAAAGAGTTTGAGGCAATTAATTTATAAGCAAAAAAAAAAAAAAAAAAAAAAAAAAC